CATTTTCAACCACAGTGGCCATCTGCAGCCTTTTGCCAGCTCCATTTTTGCTAGCAGAGGGCTAGCAAAACAAACTAAAAGCAAAGCAAAACAAAAGGAGAAATGTTCCCTTTTTTTGCTTTTGAGCATCCAAGAAGAAACAGGAGAGGAGAAAGAGAAAGACAAAGAAAAAGAAGGGAAGAGAGCAAGGAAGGAAAAATAAAGAAAGAGGGGAAGGAAGAAGAAAGGACAATAAAGAGGGAGGGTGGGAGGGAGGGAAGGAAGGAAGCAAGCAAGCAAGCAAGCAAGCAAGCAAGCAAGCAAGCAAGCAAGCAAGCAAGCAAGCAAGCAAAGAAATAATGAGAGGGAGAGAGGGTCTGAGGGAAGTCCTACTTTAGCACTTGGCCATCACAGTTGCCACAACACAAGTGATGCCGAGCTGGCTATGCCCCCACCATCTCCCCAAGGTCAAACACAACACTGATGGGTTCTTCAATGAAATCGAGTTTGACACCCCTGGCTTAAGGAGTAAAGTTTCCTATCAGTCAAGCTGAACTGCTAATGGTAATGTTTGCATGTTTGTAAACATTAAAAAATGATTTAGCACAGTCCTGTGCTCCAAAATAAGTAACGTTTGAGCAAGTGCAAAATTTTTGGCCAATCTCTAGGGGAATGGGGAAGATTTCTGCTCAAAACAAATGTTTTGAATATCCCCAATAGTGCAACCCAAACATTTATATCTTCATTTCTCTCATCTGTCACAAATGAATGCTTGAACAACAAAGCCTGGTTTTTTTTTTTTAAAAAAAAATGTTTTATCTAAACCTCATAAAAATATTAATTAGGCATCAACTTATTGATCCTCTTTACTCTAGTTTATTAAGAACATTAAAGGGCCTTTTTCATTTTGTGCACAAAACTGTAAGTACAACAATGCCATGTTCCAAACTCTGCCTTGTGTGAAACACCTTTTGAACTTTTTTTTATCAACAAAGAAACTTCTCTCTTTCAAAGCTTTATTGTTCCTCATGATAATAAATAAGATACTATTGTAAATTGAATGCCTAGAGTAAAATGATACTTGTAGCTAGGAATATAATTACATGTGTTAAGAATTGCTTCTTTTACAGTGCTCTGAGCCACAAATATAGAACTATTGTAGCAATTTGAATAAATCAAGAAGCAATTTTGTGTCTTAAGTTTTGCAATCATTACAGAAAACAGTTTTGTAGAATAAAATGCAAATCACTCAACCAGATAGTTGAATAATACAGTTGAGTATTTTTCGATTACAATGCTACAAGCAACATTAAAGCTTTAGGCGGGATGAATCAACTCATCAAAAGCAACAGATTCAACACTACCATAATAGAACACAAATTTATCAGAGCATTTATTACTATTTGAGTTAATCCCTGGAAACACTACAAAAAAAACAAAAGGAATGTCATAGCACTTTTCCAATTAATACACTTTACTGAAAGTTGAATTTTTGTGAACTACAGCTCACTTCATCAGATGCATGGAGTGGTTGAATTAATATATTACTTAATTTGAGACAAGGTAGGATAGGTAGAAGAAAGATTGGAAAAAGAAGTTGTTTATGCAGTTTATATGAGAGAGAGAAGTACTTTATTTGATAATTACCTTCTCATTTGATAATTGTGATGTGTTTAATAACCTACTTGAATTTGTTGAAGTTTTGAGATTACAATATTCTCTAGATTTTCTGCTTAGGCATCATAACTAGGTTTCAGTATTTCTGTTCAATGTATCAGTTGTTTGTCTGTGTCTGTATCCATATGCATGCCTTCAAATCAACCTTAAGTCCAGACAACTAGGTGGAGAGGTCCATGTAGTTTGCTTGGTAACATTTTTGGAAATGGTTTACCAATACCTTCTTGATACTGGCCCAAAGTGATGCATTTGGCTTCTGAGCTAACTAAGCATAAAAACTCAGTTCTCCACTCCCACTAAAGCTTCAGCGCTAGATGTTGTATTAAGAAAGGTGGGATAAAAAAAACCTAATAGATTAAAACTATATACATATATGACAGACAGAAATCTATATGGAGATGTTAGTAAATTACCAGGAATTAAACTCAATTTGAGGCAAACTTGACTTTGAGTGAGTGAGTGAGTGAGGTCAGTTAGTCAAAATAAAGGGCGCAAAATTACTGGAAACCCCAAAGACTATAATCCGCATCTGCTGAAAAGTAGATCGTTGCGTTATTTCGAACAGGAACATTGAAATTTGACTGATCCCTGAGTGACGGTCAAGCAATAGAAAAGAAGGGGAACGACCTGGGTGAACCCCGAGGGTGAAGCGAGAAGGGAAACCCCCACCTCACCCCACTAGCAGCCACATACCTCGGCCGGGGCAATGCGGAACGCCTCAGCGATTTTAGCGTAAAGCTCTTTCACGCTGCTAAAGCCTTCCACGCGCCCGGTGGGGCTGCCGTGCGCCAGCTGCGTGTGGAAGACCAACCGGACGGGACCGCGCGAGGCTGCGGCGCCCACCGCTCCGGAACGGGCCCCGACCCCGACCTCGTCGTCGCCTCGCCCTCGAGCCGGGGGAGCCTCGCCGTCCACCAAGGTGGAGGTCTCCCTGGACTTGCCTTTCTTCTTTCCCCTCAGCCCCAGAGGCATCTTCCCAGCCCGCCCACCGCAAATTAGCGGCCAGAAGCACCTGTGCGCTAGCTGGTAGCGGCGGCGCGGCTGCTCTTTCCCACTTGGCTGAACTCTGCTCGCTCGGGCCCCGAGCTCGAGCCGCACTTCCCGCTTAAGCCGTCGCCCGGCAGGTGGGCCAAGCAGGCGGCAGCCAATGGACGAACAGGGCTTTGGGCCCGGGAGCAATTTCACGCCCGACAAACCCCACCCCACCCCGGCTTCTCTTTTCCTCTTCGGTGCTTTTTGAGTCAGCCGCTGAGTTGTAGAGGAAAGTCGCGAAGACCCCGTGGCGTACAATTTTATTCATAGGTGTGTATTATTTTTTTAAAATGTGGCCACCAATCATCAGACTGCAATTCTGGGCAGCTAACAAAGATTTTTAAAAAAATAATTAAAAAATACCAGTATTAAAAATGCCAAGGCCAACCAAAACACAAAGTGGCTGCTGAAGACACAGTGCAAGAATTGAGCTCAATTATTCCACCATCCTTAGGAAAACAGCCATATTTGTAGGGTTTGTTGGAGAAAGCATGGTTTCTGGTCTCCCCTGGATGACAGTTCCGACTCCCAGACACTCTTACCTGACTTAGTGGAATGGGCACAAGCAGTTGGAGTAAACCCCTCAAATTCCCTAGACACATGCCGCGAAGTGCTTATACATAATAACCAATACTTTGAATTACACCCAGAAGTAATGATAGGCAGCCACCTTTAATTTAAGCACACCTAGGTACTTTAGCTTTATTTCAAAATCAATTATTGGAATTTTTTTGGATGACTGCTTCCGTGAATCTTTTGAGATTAAATTTCATAGAAATCAAAGACAAACAGAAGGTATTAACTTTCTTCAAACAATCGGATTTATAATAGCTTAAGTGTAGTTTTATACATGGGTTTCACTGTGACTTTCAAGCAATACAAGCGTTTGGGATGTATTAAACTTAGCAAACAATGTTTTACTGTTTCTAATGCAAATCTGTGAATACCTCTTTTGCACTCTCTTCAAACAGACGGCTTTTAGATGAAATTGTTATTTTGCAATTGCCTTTTCTGATGCATAAAATGGAGGGGGGAGGCAAAAATAAAATTGATCTTTCTGAGTTTAAGCATCTGCTATAGAAGAAAAGATGGAATGATTGCACAATATAACTTGACAGTACTGACAAGTATTCAGAAGCAAACACTGAAGGCCAAGATTAATTCTCAGGAAAATGAGAAATTCTCTGAATCAGTCATAAAGAATGATATAACCAAATTTATAATCAGCAGACCAGTGATGCTGATGACAAACAAAAATGCTCCCAAAAGTCTTGGCTACAGTTCTTGAAGCCTTCCCAAAATGTTTTGGGAAACAAATTTTCATATGTTTTGCATATTTCTGCTATTTCTTTTGCATCATTGCAGTTTTCCATTCAATAGTTTTTCACTTTAATAAAGTCTTTATTATTTTTATTCATTAATCAAACTTGTAAGGCCAGGTCACCACTACCTCATCTAGCACTAGAGTATGCTCATGCTGCCAGATCTGATGAGATAGGCAAAAACCACTGAGGAGAGGCAAACCTGCAAGTAGTGTAATCCCAGGTCATCTAGGGCAGTGGTCTCCAACCTTGGCAACTTTAAGACCTCTGGACTTCAATTCCCAGAGTTCCTCAGCCAGCAACTGGCTGAGGAACTCTGGGAGTTGAAGTCCACAAATCTTAAAGTTGCCAAGGTTGGAGACCACTGATCTAGGGCTTTAAAGATGACAACTACCCAATTGCACCAATTGAATTGCACCCAAGAACTTGCAGGCTCATGTGGCAGTCATGTTATGTGGGTGCACCATGGTAAGACCAATGCTGCTGAGGCTGCTGCATTCTAATCAAGCAGAAGCTTCTGAAGGTTTTTCAAGAACAACCCTCTGAAAAGGGTGTTAGAATAGTCTGATCAGGAGGTAATTAAGGCATGAGGAAGGACAGGATTTAAATGCAATAAATAAAAAATAGACATTATATTCAGGACAAACCAGGAGCTTGTTATAGAATTATGTGTAAATACAACTGACTTATGTAACAAAACTTTAAAATGTTCTTATTTTAGTATGTAATGTATTAACCCATTCATTTAATATACAATCTTGAACTTTCCTAACTTGTTAATACCATAGGTTTCATTGGGATTTACTCTTAACAGAATAGAGTAGTGTTTCTTAATCTTGGCAGTTTGCAGATGTGTAGACTCCAACTTCCAGAATTCCCAGAATTGAGAAACACTGGTATTATGATCTCTATACTGCAGGTATGTTATGCTTCAAATGTCAAATACCATTTTCATTTGCTCTCATACATCAAATTGACAATTGGAGGGGGAAAAGTTAGAAATAATAGTTTAATGTTTAAAAATATGAAATGCAATACATTATCATAAAGTATATTTAAATACATTTACAATATGCACAAAGAAAAAGTAGTAGTTTTCTTGTTCTCATTTTTAGAGTCATTAAAACTTATTTCATAGATTCTTTCTAGTTTCAGAAAGGGATGTTATAAAGTGCTCAAAAGAGGTTCTTTGCAGAGCATTTTAGCACGAACAGCATTTTGCTTCAAAGCATTAAAGTAATCATGTCCTTTGCAAGGCACATGCAACTGGTTTGAAAGCTGTCTTTGCTTACTCCACATGCAGATGTCCCAGCAAAATGAGCATGCAGACAACTGGGAAGTTTCTGAGGAAGCTATATGAGATTTGCAGAGAAGACAACTGTTTTAATACTTTGAAGACTGATCTTTCATTCATTTTAATATGCTTTGTGAAATACCTCTTTCAAATGCTTTCCATAGCCCTGGTTTAAGATTGCACATCTTGTCAGTTTATAGCCTTTGTACTAAATCCCATTAAAAAAAAATCCCATTCATTCAGGAGTCATTTTTAAAGTGATTCCTCCCACTATCAATTACTGCAGCTGTTTTGGATTTTAATATGCTAGTTTTAGAAAACTGGTATCATTAATTTTTTACATAATTGTTAAATGTCCTGTCACTTAAAAGTGCTATCTAGCACATTTTGAATGAAGCTTTATTGTAAACAAAGATGAATAATTTCATGAATGTTTCCATTTGACCATATTACAAAACAAGTAGGTGTTGTCTTAAATTTAATACTGTTCATCTACTGCCAATGAATACTAGTTAGAACATATATGTCTTTGCAAAAATAAAGTTTCCTTGCTTTTTCTTAAAATAATTCATTACAAATTCATAAAACTTCAGTTTCAACTTAAAGTTCACAGAATTTGCAAGAAACTTGAGAAAGATTGCAATCTTGACTGAATTAGGTTAATTATTCAGTTGATGCTTATAAGTATGCCGCTTCATGAAATATAAGTTCCAGAGAGCATTAACACATTTTCACAACAATTTCTACCTGCAAATCTATTAGGCCAAAAACAGTAGGCCATCAAATTTTATTTTCTATTAGGTCACTATATTTACCACCAGAATAATGGAGTAAAGAAATTCACAGACTGGTACAGTAATGTAAAACCCACCTCTTCTTTGGGCTCATAAACATTTTAAGTGATATTACTTTCCTGCTGCTGTGAAAAAGGTAATGCAGCTTAGAGTATATACATAAAATAAATATTTAAAGTTACATAGATTCATATAATGAATTCTAATACTGTGATATTTTAACTCACACAGATAATCGGGATTATCTGAATTAAAGTGCTTTGCAAAGTATGCACTTTATTAGAAATACATGGACAGAGGTGTTCCCTTTTTACCCATGATTACATGGACACGAAATACTGGATAAAGTGTTTTGTAAAGGAAGATGCAACACACGGTAAGTAGTATTAACCTTATACTTAGTTGCAAGTCTTTTGTATTCCAATTCTCATGCAACACTGCATAATTCACTTCCCTACCTGCGCACACAAAAGAAAAGTTCAACAGTTATAGACTGCACTTTTACAGCATAAACCTGAAAGTCCTTGATGTTCAGTGTCTATTTGGAACAGTTCACTAACATATGTTTCTTATGATACAGGAAGATTTCTCCTGAGTACTTCTTTTGAGGCTGAAGCTATATTATCTGGGAAAATTACTTCAAATTCTATAATTAAGTCACCTCGTTGGTCATGATTTTTAGGAAATGGTAAACCATATCCTATAATTCTTCTTCTCATTCCAGGCTTTACAACTTCATTTATTGTCATAGGTATTGTTCGGCCTTCTATAGTTGGTACATTGATTGAGGTGCCACATAAAGCCTGGAAAATAGTAAATTCAAAAAATTAAGAGCAGCATATTTGTTATTTCTTCAAGCTTTTAATATACTACATGTTCTCCATAAAGATAATTATATTTTTAAATAAATGACAGTGTAATTTATTCAAATGCAAATGCCACTGTGTTATATCTTTTTTGTAAGTGAAGAGTTGACACCAAACAGTTGAACAGTTCAGGATATAAATATCATTTGCAATAAAGAGAAAATAGCACTTTACCACTTAACAAAATGTGCAAAGAATGCCTAAATGTAAAGAGAGGAGACAGGAACATTGCCAACAATATATTTTCTTTCAAAGCTATATTCTGTGCACATGACACGAATTTCCACCTCTTACATTTTGATTAATGTAACAGAAGTGGCAGCTATAGGCATCCCATTTAATAGGAATATCCTGTATATAGCCTTGGAATGCAATTGATTGCAAGACATGTTGGAATGTTCTAACCTTGGAATATCCATTTTGATCATGAACAGGTGTTAGAACAGGTGTTCTGACAAAAGAAGACAATATCCTGTCAGACTTATTCTTCCTGTGCAAGAATATTCTAGAGATGGAACACTTACCTTTTAAAAATTCACAATATAGATGTAAATAATGTTCTCTAAAATATCATTTGCTACCTGTGGGCTGAATTCTTGCCCCTCCTGGCTCCTTCTAGCCACCCAGGGAGGGAGGCATTTCCTGGATCTAAGAGATTGTTAATGTCTCGTTGTGAAAAGATACACATAACAACTAGGAAGCTACAGGTACTGAACAATTAGTGCCCAAACTTCAATTTTACCATTTATGGGAAAATTACAAACACTATGGTGGAATCTCAGAGAAACTCCCAGAGCATTAGCCAATTTAAATACCAGAGTCTGTTACGGGAGCACATTATACCTGTACTGCAAGCTCTGCATTGGTTGCCATTAAACTTATGGATGTAATTTTAAAGTTCCAGTGTTAATCTATAAAACCCTACATACATATTTACTTGCAGGACCACATTAGTCTACCCAGTTTGACCTATCCTAAAAAAACGATTAGCATTGTCCCTCTTTAGGAAGGTCAGGAAGGCCAAGGCTTCTTAGCAATATTGTTCTTCATTTAAAGTGCTGTTCCTTTGAAACAGCCTCCTTGTGAATATCAAACACTGCTCTAATAGAACATTCTTATGTGTGCATTAAGGGTAACTAAATGTGTATGCTGCTAACTTATAAGACAATTGATTATTACAATGGATGTATCTCCTAAATCTAATCATCTAGTTTGCATGCTCACAATAATTGTTGTTTATTAAACTTATGTGCTGCCTATCTTGCTTGGAAACTTTACTTGCCATATAAATATAATTATTTCAACTTTATATCAATGTTATGATAAAATGTATTTAAAATCGATGAAAATATCACGGCAGATCAGCATAGAGCTGTTCACATAAGCAGAATGCTGTTCCTTTGTTCTCACCATAATGTTATTGGGGTTTTTTTGTGATTAGAAAAAAACATTTCTAATACTTGATGATGCATTTCCTTCTACCAGCATTCTGATTATTTTACTTCATAGTGGATTGTTTGCAAAGATTTACAACAACACTGTTGTAGTACAACACCACACCCTAGTATTGCAAATCCCATAAAAATGCCAAGTGCAAGTAAAAGCAGCCCAGAAAACTGGCACAAAGTTGGATGATTTATGTGTATAATGGCGGTGAGGAAAAAACAAGACAGGGTTCAGGGGTAAACAGTTCATTGACTACAGAGTTAACAAGAAAGGAATTAATTTGTGGGAGAAGGATAAAATGCTACAGACTATATTATTTACCATATTATATTCTAAATTTACATGCCATATTTCCACATTAAGCCATTTAACATGTAACTACTTACACAAAGTTCTGTATTCTTAAAGAACATTGATCTATGTCCAGTTTAACTCAACTATAAATATAAAACAGTATAAATAAATACAAATTGTATAAAGTATTAAAAATCCAACTTTAAACAAACTAATACTTACCTCGCGTAAACTAATCTTGACAGGGTAGATTATATTTGAACCATCTCTCTTGAAATGAGGATGTAATTTATCTTTAATAACAAACACAATATCAGCTGGGATGGTGTTGGGTGTTTCATCACCCTCTTTGGGGAATGTAATTTTGGTACCTTCTTTCCATCCTCTCTTAATATCAATCGTAAGAATTTTATCTTCTGTTCTGACACTTCTACCATCTGAATTGAGCCTTTTTCGGGAAATTCTCATTCTTTTTGTACAACCCTGATAAATCTCTTCCAATGATACTTTCAGTTCATGAATAACAGGAGGATCTTGTTTACGACGGGGTTGATTACCAACCGTGTTTCTTTCTCTTGGAAATCCATTCACACTAAAAGTAGTAAAGGAACCAAATGGATCACCATCCACTTCCATATCTTCAGTGTCCCTGCCACTAGCCATTCTTCTACCAAAGAACATTTCAAAAGGGTTTGCGCCACCAAAAAATGCTGCAAATGTAGCATGTGGGTCTCCATGAAATGAATAACGGAAAGAACCTCCTTGACCATCTGGTCCACCAGACCCTCCTTTCAAACCTACCAAAAACAGAAGCGTAAGAAATAATAACCAGCTGAAATAACTATATTCATTAACAAAACAATATGCTGTGATCCAGAAAATAGGAAATCAGAATGGGAAGATGAGTTGGGCAGATGACTGTCCTTTTACTCGAGGGAATATTTTGTCTTTTATCAGTTTAAGAAAAAATAATTTTATTTCTGTGATGTCAGGTGGGGAGTAACAATTGTAACAATTATACCCTTGTTTTTATAACTAGGGTAAACTCTAATGAACATAATACCTACAATATCTTTGTAAACAAACATAGAAACACAGAATGTTAGGGTTAGGTTTTACAGCAAACACAGAGTCCTGTAGAACTTTAACAAATCATATAAACTTTTAGTTTATAGTCCATATCTTGTCCTGTCCTGTAAAAGACAAATTATATGCATACATAACTGCTTGGGAATGTGGGAGAAAGGCAAGGGAGTAAGTCTTGAAATAGTGAGAGAAATGCTTTAAATATGATCAAACATAAATTATAGTTGGGTGGGTCATAGCTATTCTTTCACTGACTAAGTTGTAATGTCTTAAGGAGTTCTGAATCTCTGTGTTTAATCCACAAAGAAATTAAATCTCTGAATGAATATAAATGATTAGGCTGTTCATCAAATATACAAAACAGATTTAGTGTTATCCATATTTATTGGAAATAAATCCAATTGAATTTTAGAAATAAAATTATTGTGGAAAAGAGTCCATAAAACATTGATGTATTGCAAACCAGTGAGTTTTATAAAGAGATTTTACAAAGTTATACTACTACACTTACACGAACAGTTACTTCAATTATTTTAAGCTTGCTTATCTTCCTACATTATGACACCCACCTACATTCTGTGATTAATTTCACCTACACATCCTTCCTAAATTTAACCAATTTCTCATCTTTTTGCTGTATCTTTAAATCACTTAAATAGATGGTTTTGATAAAAGGCAGGTTAACTCTGCAATCTTTTTTTTTTTAAAGCATTCTTAATAAGTTATCTGATATGTATATCTCAAGCCAATAGTTGCCACAGTAGATATGAATGATCACAAAATATTAATTTATCAGAAAGCTTAGTAGCTTCCAAAATGTTCTTTTTTTAACTAGTGGATAATTACTATTAATGTTTGCTTGATATTTTTAAATGTTCTTTTAGGCCCAGACATACTGTAATATGAACTCTGGTATATACTAAGAGGCCACTTAAGGGAACACTGGTTTTCTCTGGCATTTTCCTATTGTCATTCACGATGGTAGTGCCTAATTCTTTGGGATAACATTACTGAGCAGTCAATGTATTTTTTTTTCTTTTACTAATTATTTACTAAAATCCAAACATTTCCATATTCAGAGAATTTGGATTCTGTAGAATTTAAAATTTGCACATATGTGAGACTAGACAGCAGACAAATATTTCTCCTCAGAAAACATAGCTTACAAATCTCTGGGAAAAAATAGGCATCTAACAAAGTCTATTAAATATTTTTCTTTTATATTGAAGCAACTAATTAAACCATTCATCTTCCTGATATAATTTAGATAATTCTTAAAATGTACAATGGTGAATGTCCTATACTATTCACTTTGGTTATGAAATTAGACTTTCAGAATATCAAGAAAAAAATTGATTCACACATTGTGTTAAACTATTATTTCTTTTGTTAGATTTTACTTTACCATGATATGAACCAAGTATATAAATCACGGCTTATTACTCAGCATGCTGTGTCATGGACACCATTATGGCTTATTTTACATATTATTATTTAAAATAAATGAAAACATTATCATCATGCGTGAACTCATCTTACACTAAAACTTAACAGAACTACCATGAATCCATAGGGCTATCTAAATTATAAATAAGTTCAAATTACCAATATTATTTGATGTTTATTTAGAAAGGAACATGAAATAAAGACTTAATTTAAGTCCAACATCAATCGTCCTTGACTTACAGCCATTTGTTTAGTGACCGTTCCAAGTTACAATGGCACTAAAAAAGTGACTAGTTTTCACAATTATGACCATTGCAGCATTCCCACAGCCACGATTAAAATTTGGACATTGACAACTGACATGTATTTACGACAGTTGCACTTTCCTGGTATCTGTCACCATTTTTAACCTTCCCAACTGACTTCTGATGAGCAAAGTCAGGGGAAAGCCAGGTTTGCTTAATGACCACATGATTCACTCACCAATTGAAGTGATTTGCTTAACAACTGTGGCAAAAAGGTGATAAAGTGGGACATTTAAAAACTGCCTTGCTTAGGAATGGAAGGTTTGTGGGACATTTAACAACTGCCTTACTTAGCAATGGAACATTTGAACGTTGCTAAGTCAAGGACTACCTGTACATGAATTAATAATCTCTGACACAAATTTTGGGTAAAGGTATTTCTTGAAGCGGTGAGTTTACTGCCTTGCAAACTATTCTGGCATAAGCTATACCTGATCACTACAGCAAGTATTTTATATAACTGTTGATCACATACTCCTTTTTTTCCTCTTTTCACTAACCTATGATATGAGATCAATTTTGACAAAAGATAAGTTTGGCTGTCTGTATATTACTGTACATTGTAGTTAATATAATAACTATCTTTTCTGCTGATTTTACCATGTTTGAATAGTGTAGCAATTAATAGGTAAATGGTTTAAAACATGCATTCTGAAGTATGGCTTAAGTATGCATTATTGTCACTCTTCCTGCTTTTGATATGCATTGTTTGTGAATGGAGTATTTATTTACTAAGCCTTAGCAACTAAAGATGTAGAACTAAGTAAAGGATGCCAGGTTTGACAAACTATACCATGTACTTGGCAGAATGATGCTTCCCAAAATAGATAATGGATTGATTGTGCTCAAAACTTATCAATCTCATATCTAATTAAAAGGAGTAATAGATTATCAGTCTATCCATGATCTGAACAACAGTCAATTTCAACACTGACTAAATTAACTCATTAAATATTGTTCCTAATGCTATACATAAAGATATTAGGAACATTGACTCATGATTTTAAAAATAAGTCTTTATCAGCATATCAAGGTCTTATAAATTTCCCAATACTACAGGGAGGCAATACTTAAATTATAAATTACTACTTAATTTAAATGTTTAAATAATCATATGCATTTATGAAAAACACAAGTTTCTTATAATTATTAAATACTGATATATTTTAATTCTTAAGTTTTCAGTCCATCATATTCAATATATGAATGTTTCTATCTCACTGAGAGAACTGTAATATAAACAGAAACTTCATTAGCAGAACAAAAACAACTTAATAGAACAAAAACTATTTTCAAATCTTAAATTAGATTTTGAAAGATAAAGGCAGTAGCTGAATTCTAAAAACTAGGTCTCATTCCCTTGATACATTAATAGCTAGAAAGGAAGTTGAAAACTTGTCCTGGTATTTTCATGACATCAGGCAATTTTTTTCCTTTTTAGACAAGATTCCAGTGTAAACCTAGTCTGGACACCTGGACTCTGGTTCAGAAATACCATAATTCTAATTCAATCTTATTTTAACAGAAATAATGTATACATTTTAATTTTTGTTACTGTTAAGAATAGGACAAAATAAACCAAGTCAGCAACTACCACAGCCAAAAGCAGCTTAATATTCCTGAAATTAAGAATGCTTCCCCGCATAATAGAAAATCAATTACAAATTTCATAAGAACTTACAAATGTAATGTGTATAGTTACTGAAATATAATTTAGCTAACTTCTCAGATTAAGTTGTTACAGCCAAATGCTTATTCCCTCTTGATTTGAAGTAATTATATTTAGCATAAATGTTATTTCTATTAATAGCTAAAAAGAAACTACAGAAATTATATTACCTTCTTCTCCAAACTGATCATAAATTTCTCTTTTTTGGGGATCACTCAATACCTCATAGGCTTCTGCAATCTCTTTGAATTTTTCTTCTGCATGGGGAGATTTATTCTTATCTGGATGCCATTTAAGGGCTTGTTTTCGATATGCTTTCTTGATGTCTTCATCAGATGCTCCTTTTTCAATTCCAAGAACAGAATAGTAATCCTTCCCCATTTCAATGTTTAAAAAGTATGCTTTCTTTTGTTTATGAGTTCTGTATCTCAGCTATGCAATGTTCCTAAAAAAAATTAACAAGAACTGTAGTTCTATTAAGCAGCCAGCCACCTTCTCCTTCTCCTTGATCACTTTGTAGAGATTGAAATGGTAAAAACAGTGCTACCCAGAGCACTCCCAATTACACTACGTGTCTCTGCTCTTTCTAGAACAGCAAATGTTATAAGACGTCATTTCCCAAGCTAGCTACTGCCAAAACTCTGCCGTGTTCTATCTTTGTACATTTAACTGTTCACTGACTAACTTCATATGAAAATATTTTTTTAAACCTTAATTGTGGAATTTTGTAACCATTTAGTATTGTGTGGATGGTAAATTACTGATATAGGCTTGTTTTATATATTTATTGTAAATATGTGCTATAGGAAACCATTTCTTAATATTTAAAATAAAACTGTTGATTCTACCAGTAGTGAAAAAATACTTTATGGACTAAGGGTGGTCAGTTTAAAAAGATTTCAGAAAATACGCAAATGAATTGTAAATTTTTAACTTAGATTATTTGTCCTCCTACATTGACTATATAACCCTATATTTAATTTATTTAAAAATGCATGAGCAGCAATAATAATTGTCAGTGGAGCAATAGGGCCAAGGCATGTATATGCCAGAATTAGACCATCAGGTGTGCTTTGTGAGATAGCAGCTATGCTTGCATGTCACCAAGATCATCAGCTATCTGCAAGCACCTCTCACCAGGAAGGTAGTTTTTGGAAGTAGGGAGATAACACTGAAAAATATTCAGCAGAAACAGCTGAAACTGAGAAGTGGGAGCAGTTAGTTAGAGAATGAGCTGTTGTTTGTTAGAGCAACGCAACTGTGAACTACAAATGGTTGAAAACAACAAAAAAGGAGACAAGATATGGGAAAACCCATATAAACTTACTCCCTCAAGAAGCAAAGGGGAAAAATGGCAAGCTGTGAAAAGGAGGATATTGCTAGAGGTATGGATGTGCATTTGTATCATCGTTAGAGGAATTGCAAACAGCAAACAGCAGATTGGAAACGGAAATCAAATTGTGACTCTCTTGAAGTCACCCATCTGAACTCTGATATGGGGTTCTATTATTTTAAGAGACATCTTGGAGCAGCATTTTAAGAATAGCAAAATTGTCTGATTTCAAGATTGTGACCGAAGGAACCAGACATGGAGCATTCAGGAGGCTTGCAGATTGTGGATTACCCGACTACTCATTCTGCAAATTAGAAATATAAATAATGTAGAAGTTATAACCAGAGAAAAATTGCACCTACCCAACCTGATGCTAAGTAAGGAAATGACCCTTCTGCGGGTATTTCAAATTCTTAGGATTCTTACATTGGATGAACCCCTCTTTTTAAGAAATGTCTCTCCATTGTTGGAACATCACTTTTATTGATAGCTAGTTCTTATCACAAACATCATAATCCCACCCATCTGGGAGGAGTCTAGAATAAGATGTACAATGCAAGAGATCCTTATCTTCTGAAGAAGTCTGAAAAAAAAAACAGCAATCAAGAGTTTGAAGTATCAGTTTCCACAATAATGTGGCAGCTGGGATCAAGATGGTGGTCTGAGACACGACACATTTCAAATCCTGAAAGGCTGCTTGTTCTTGAATAAAATTGTGAGAGTAACTTTCAATTTGTTGAATGGAATTGTTAAAGGCAGTTCTAAATTTCTGCATAAAATTGTTATAGTTGTCCAGGATGGTACATTGATTTTAGTGTGAGAGAACAGCCCACCTGACTGTTTCTTCATTCAAAAAGGTCAGAACAAAAAGGTCCAAATCTGTAGAAAAACACTGCTGGCTTGCCAGTCATAAATACTTCATACTGGGTAGTGAATTGGAAATCTGCCTATAGGGCTAATTAAAGTTGAGGCAACCTTGACCAAAATGCTGGACTACTACATCATAACATTCTATAAGCTCATAATTTATGTATCTATCTGCTGTCTATGCTGTAATAATGGCTCAACAACCTATTCTGTAGATAGGTATTTCAAGGATCTGTAGCCATGGTCTAGGTCCAGAATTCAGAATCCAATCCTCATCTAATAGAAGAATAACAAGGCCCTCAAGATTGTTGTATGCCAGCCTCGGTAAAGGAAGAACCGTTTAAACGTTTGGAAATATTTTTATTGCTAGCTGGATATTGTAATATAATCTTAAAAGCTTGTCAAATACAATTCTTGTTTATACCTAATGTAAATAAGGCCAAAAATGAGATACCAAGGGTCATTGTGAATGCATCATTTAAGGAGAAAGATGCTAATATTTCTAAAAGGATACGGAGTCTGGCATCCTTATGGGTCTGATCAAGGACCAAGTTATGTTGGACAACTATCATCCATTCAATAACCTTTCTTTTTGTAGGCCAGAACTGGAGAACTGGAGGAAGGAGTAGTCTACCCTATTATAATGAAGTCTTGATGTATTTCTGAACACAAAACAAAAATTAGAGGCATTATTCCATGGCAGATCAATTTCTTCCTAAGTAGATACTTCCACTGAGTAGAGATAATCCTTGACTTATGATAATTAACCCCAAAATTTCCACTGCAAAGCAAGAGAGTAGTTAAGTGATTTTTGCCCCATTTTACAAACTTTCTTCCTAAAGTTGTTAATTGAATCACAGCAGTTGTTAAATTAATAAGTGAATCTGGCTTTCCTGTTGACTTTGCTTGCTAGAAGTTTATAAACGGTGAACAAATGACTGAGACACTGCAACAACTATCTCAGTTCCAGGCTGTCAAGATGTGTCAGAAGGTCTTGTCAATATTCTGCAAGAATCTTGAAGAAACAGAGTAAGATTTAACCCTATCAAAGTAGAATTTGTGGATTGAAAAGTCAACTGAATCTAAGACAATTCCAGCTTAACTATAAATGTAGTCATTCTCTTAAAACAGCTGGGACAACAATCTAGGAGTGTTTCTGTTCTCTCAACTCCTTTTGGAATAGCAGATTTAAACTGTGACTAAGACCTTTGTCTACTTCAATCTGTGTGCTAACATGAATACACTTGGAGAAGATACAGACAATAGTCACCTATATCTTGGTCACTTCACTAGAAAACTACATAATGTGTTGTACATAGTACTATCCTTTTAAAAAACCATCCATTGTAACAAAATACAAAGGGCTGGATATTAAATGAAAAAAATATATCATATTTTTCAGAGTATAAGACGCACATTTTTCCTCAAAAAAGAGGCTGAAAATCTGGGTGCGTCTTATACACTGAATACAGCATTTTTTGCCTCTGGAAACCCTGCCCCCTTCACCAAAATGGCCATGCAGAGCCTTTAGGAGGCTTATAGTGTGCTCCTGGAGGCTGGAGGGCAGAAATGAGCAAAAAACGTTTTTTTTTTTTGTTCAATTTTGCCCCCCCGCCAGCACCCAGGGGCACTCTATAAGCTTCCCAAAGGCTATGCATGTCCTTTTTTGATAAAAAAGTGCCCATTTTCACAAAAAACAGGTCATTTTTTGGAAGGTCCGCAGAGTGCAAAAACTTTTTTTTTAATTTGCCTCTTGGTATGTTTTATACTCCAGTGCATCTTATACTCCGAAAAACATGGTATATATTGTCATGTAATATTACCATTGTAGGATTTTCTTTATTGCCGGTTTCCAGAGTGCTAGATATAGCCTTTGAAATTCTGCATATCTTGGGCCCTGCAAGACTGCTTATTCCAAATAAAATTTGCTCATTTAAGATGTACTCGTACAGAGTGCTTCTCAAGAGTTCTCACTTCCTGTGAATTGTGTCAGAGGAAGACTTGAGGGGATTATATTCTCAAGTAGTTCCTTTCTTGTTGAATGCCCCCCAAACATTCCAATGATAATATAATAAATTGGTATGGTATGGTATGGACAGAAGAAACCTTGTGACTACTACAATTTTTATATCCTATTTTTAAAAACAATCTTCCCAAAGCAGTTCACAAACAACTTAAGAAACTATAAATACAATAAATATTATTTTAAAAGAAATTAAATTTCTAGGATGTTTCCCTCAGGGCAATTGAGGATAATAGAAATGTGGAGAAGAGAAAAGAAGAGTGTACAGCTAAGCAGATTTAGAAGATAGTTGTTGTTTCCTTTCCTTCCTCTCCCTTCTGGGACCCTTTCCACAAAGCTGTTGGTGGTAATAATCTGTGGAGGGAGGGAAGAGAGGAGTTCTAAGCAGAGTGGAAGAAAATTCATACTAACAATACTTTACCAAAAAAGGACCTGTGTGCATTTCAGATGTGGACATGTGTTGTATTCCAGGGGGTGGAGTATGTTTCCAAGTATCCATGCCAGATATGCTCGCTCTTTTCTCCACTAACACATTAGTGTATGACTCACACTGCTAAAGTTAAAAGCCAACCAACTCTCTTGTACTGTTCAATAACAGTTGGATTCAACAGCTTGAAACTTGTGTATTACATACACACACACATACATAGATATACATACACACACATATATGTATATGTACACACACACACACACACACACACACACACACACACACACACACGTATTTTTCAAACTATAAGACGCTCCGGACTATAAGATGCACATTAGCTTTAGAGGAGGAAAACGAGAAAAAAAATGCCTCTGCCTCCGCTGCCCGGTTGCCATTGCTACGGCCCATTTCGCAACAGCCCGTTTGCCACGCTCATTTGCCATGGCTCGTTTACTGCCGTCGTGGCCCGCTCGCCACCACAACCATCCTCTGCAAACGAACAGCGATAAGTGGCAGCAGCAATCCCTGCTGCCTAGAACAGCTGATCAGTGCCGCACTAACCCCCTTCCCCCCAACAATGTTTGCTCTATAAGACGCACAGACATGCATTTTGTAGTCTGAAAAATACGGTACATACATATGCATTTTCTGAAATAAAGACACCGTTAGAAGGAACGATGCAGTATAGCTCTTAATATGCAAGCTGTATTGCAGCTTCTTCACCAAAGAAGACTGCTCTTAAAAGCTACATAATATAAAATGCAGCAAGCACTCAATGGTTTTAAAAGGTTCATTAACAAATTTAGTAGGAAATGCCTGGTTGCATTTGGATGGGAGTTTTGTCAGGAAGTAACACACTTGTAAGCTACCTTAGGACACTAACACTTTACTGAAAAAAGGCAATGAATACTATTTCCATTTTATTGCCTGGAAACTACATGTCTCCTTGTCTATGAAGTCATCAAAAATGAAACTAGATTTCAAAAAGATTTTAACACCCAGACTTATTATTTTCCAGGCAGAAAAGCAATGACCACTAGATGTCACTGACAACTTGTACAAATACAGTAGTCTAAAAATGTTTTTTAGTTGTAAGATCAGAGCAAATTCTATACTACAGAATTATTGCATCAAAGCATTTGATACGAAGATTTATTCCCCCAAATAATTAATATTGGTAATAATTGTTTATTCCTTCTCATATTAATCTTATACATTAATGATGTTAAATACTACAGGATTTCAACCCAAGTCAATGACTTCACATTTTTATGAACTATTCTCTTTTGAGGGATTTATTCTCAAAAGAGAATAGTGCTCTAGCATAAGTGCTTCAAGTAAAATATGCTGTCATAGCCAGTAGCCCACGAAAAAACCATTATAAATGATTTGAGCATCTCTTTTTTATGCTGATTTTATCAGTTTTGCTTGGAAACAAAAAAAATCACAGGAACAGTATCTAATTCTGGTATCAACCTGTGCAGCAATTGACATTTTCAATAAGAACAGAAAATGAATAAATGTTTCCTTATCTGATTTGGATGACCACCACTATCTTTTTTTATCCAACAAAATCTTTCAACAAAAAATGATATTGGCAACATGTAGCCTATCAAATGCAATTCCATCATGAAGACTTACTTACTGAAGAGGACAATGAGGAACAAGAGATGATTGCTAGGCCAATTAACCTCTACCTTAGGTGAAGTATACCATCATGTACCATTTCAAACAAAAGCTACAAAAAATGAAAGATCAAATTATGAAAAGTGGGATCGTGTAGAGAGTATTGATGCAGCTAGTCTTTATAACTTGCAGTAAATTCTACCCAGAAATATAAACCAAAAAGAAATTGTGCAGAAATGCTAATACAGTTGACAAATTACAGAAATAGTTTTCTAATAATCCCAAAAGTCCATTTTGTAGAAAGGAAGATCTGTTTATATATTTATTTTTCATGCATCTACACCTTAGTAACTATTACAATGGGAAATGGCCATAATGAATTTGAAAATTCACCGTACCTACCATGGATTTTTGCACACGGACATCCCCCCTCCAACTTTTATCATTTTATTAACGCCTGTGTTAAAGCTTAATTCATATTCCCAGTATTGCACAGCAAAATTCGCATCAAATTTTTGACACTCGCAGGGCCACCGACTTTATGGCTTTTATTACTTAACGTACATCGATTAAGAGAATGCTTGTGTAGAAGCACCTTGTTTTGAAGGTAAACTTATTATATCATTGAAATGTATTTGAATACAAGTATTATATTCAAATACTGTTATATCATTTTAAGAAGAAACCTATACACGAGATAGGATACTGCTTTTCAGCGAAGCGGATAGGCGGCATTTTGGAGGGTTTCCCTTCGCCTCAGTACACCCCCGTCAGGAATCAACCCCGTTGTTTTTTCTGTGCCTTCGAGAATCAAAAGGGTTCACTAAAGACATCCCTCAGATTTACCCGTCCTGAGAGAGACTCACTCGCTAGCCGGCAGGTTGTCGCCACCACGACAGACGCTCCGGCAGGCGACAGCAAATACAGTACCACAAATCAGTTCCTTTCCCAACTGTCCAAATATGTCGATTGAAAGTATGGGGGAGGGGGGGAGAGAGGAAGAGATTACTTAATCAACTATCGCGAGATACCCCCTCCCCGAGAGGCTATCGTCTTATCTAACCCAGGAAGAAATCTTGCGCGCGCCTCCCTTCGCATATCCGTTTAACGATCTACAATACCTTCCCCTCCTTCCTTTTCACACCCTAGAAAGCTCCAGAGTATTCTACCTCCTGCATCCTAAGATTCTTATCTCGCGAGAGTTAGCTTGAAGTTGGGGGGGGGAGAGGGTTCCTCCTTCCCGCCTTCATTATCTCTGTTTGCTCTGCTCAAAGTCTCGCGTCTTTTGCCTAGGTGTCTCGCGAGGGTATTAGCGGCCTCCCCTCCTCCTCTCGCGAAACACGATGCGACGCAAGAATGTGAAAGGATCCCGCCCGCCGCCATTTTCTTTCTTTCTTGGCAGGCTGGGAGGACGGTAGGAAGTAGTGGAAGGAGACATGTCGGATTATTCTACGGTGCCCCCTCCTTCTTCGGGAGCAGCCGGCGGAGGCGGAGGAGGTGGCGGGGCAGTCAATGATGCTTTTAAAGACGCGCTGCAACGGGCTAGGCAGGTGTGTATTACGAGCCCTGAAGGGATTTTTTTTTCCCTGACTGGCTCCTCAGACTTCCAAGCAGGCCGCTGGCTTCTCCATTCACTTTTCGGCTTCTTTCGCAAAGTGAGACAAGCCCAAGGCCCACCGGCACATTACGGAGGAGCTGAGAGCGACCCCCACTTTTGAAGGGCTGGGATGAAGGGCTTTTCTTTCGGGAGGCTTTTTCAGAACTCGACGCAGGTTGTGGGGTGGGGGTGGGGGTCCTACAAAAGCGTGGAAGGCCAAACCGCCTGGTATCCATTATGTTGCCGCTAAGCGGTGGAAGTCGGAGTAGGAGGGACCAAAAAAAGGATTAGCTTGAGATTCAAAAGAAAGGGAATGAGTTGACTTTTTAAAGTCTCGCGTTTGGCGGAAAGTTATTTCCCTAACATCCTTCTACTTCGCTTCTGGAAATGGCGCTGCCTTCATTTCTTTAAGAAAGAAAAACTAAAAGGCAGTCGGGTGTGTCCGATTGTCTGAACCGCATGCCCCTGTCCATCCATCCTTCCTCTCTTCCACTCTGCAGAGGGGCTTTTACATTGTGCCCTCCGCCTAAGGCTGAGGTGTTGTGCAATATTTTCCATTATATTCGCTTGCATGTCGCTCGCGGGAAAATGTCGGTAACGAGGAACTGTCGGCATTAGAGCGGATTCCTCGTAATCTGGTGCCCACCGGTTCTTTTCCGTGCAACTTTTCCGTGCGCAAACATAAGCTGCACGCTATGTGTAATAATTTCTTTTGTTTCTGTAGGAAGGCTAAGGAGGCACACACACACCCCGCTTTCATCTGGCCCACCCATTTTCGTAATTAACCAATAATAAAACGTTGTAGAGATGATGTTAGTTAGGGTTTCCAGGTAGTCTTAATATTTAAACATTGCTCTTAACGTTTCTTTCAGCTTTGGACTTTCTGTGACTCAAATAGGTGTTTTGCCTCTTGATGTTGGAGGTGTTTGGTGCTGTTCCTCGTTATTGGAAGTAAAGCTAAAAGTTGATTTAGAATCATACATAAATGTATGATTGCATTTTTATTCAGAGAAATTTCACCTAATTGAAAAATTGGCAAAGCAATCTTGCTGAAGCATTTTAGTGAAGTAGGAAAAGAATTGACTCTTTGGCTTCTATGAGCTTTATATTACTGATCAGATTATTTTAAAATAATGTAATGTGAGGCTTTGTTTCCTGCTTCCCTTTGGGTTATAGTTAATGTTTTAAAAAAAACAAAGCAATTTCACATTTTAAAAATATGATCCATTATAGAAACAGAAAAGCATATAATTTATGCAGTGGAGACCACATGCAGTAGTTTTTCAAACACAGAATGAATTTCAGTGTTAGTGCATCATCTTAAATAGGAATAAAATCACAGTTCCTTTCAAAAGAGATAAAGTACATTGTTAGGCTTACTGAAAGAAGGGAAAGGAATAGATGACATCTTATAATAGCAATACTGTTGCGAGTAAATATATGATTAGGGGGGAAAAACTTAAATCGGTGGTTATCCTGAAGTTGAGGGAACTTGAAAAAGTTCCCAGTGTTATATGCAATGCAGTGCCAAATCAAGTTAATCTGTTAGATAGACTTAAACATGGCAAATACAGTAGAATCTCTGGTCATGACTATAATTCATTCCATAACTTTGTTAGCAACCAGATTTGCTCCTGACATGAATTATTGCAGCGGCCACATGTGGGTCGCTGTTGTTTGTAATCAAACAACAAAAAAATTGGCACTTAGAAAAAAAATGATGTGGAAGGGGAAATCAGGCGTGACCGTGTTTTATCGCCACCTGAAGTATGTGTTTGCAACCAGATTCAAATTCATTTTATGAATATTTTCCCTTGGAACCCTATTTGGTCGTGGTCAGAAGCATTCGTGACCAGAGGTTCTGCTGAACCTTCAATTTAATCAATTCCTTATTTACTTCTACTTTTGTTTGACTAGCAGAATAAGAGAGTTGGAAAGTACTTTGGTGGTCTTCTAGTCCAACCCCTTTTCAAGCAGGAAATCCTATACCTTTTCAGACAAATGATTGTGCAATCTCATCCTAAAAGACTCCAATGTTGGAGCTTCCCCGATTTTTGGAGGCGAGTTGTTTCATTGATAAATTGTTCTAACTCAGGAAATTTCTCCTTAGTTCTAAGTTGGTGCTCTACTTAATTACCATATTTTTCGGAGTATAAGATGCACCAAGATTTTAAAGAGGCAGTTTTTTAAAAAAAGTTTTTGCACTCTGCAGACCTCACAAAAACGGATCATTTTTCGTGAAAACGGGCCTGGTTTTTTGTCAGAAAAAGGGCATGAATAGCTTTTAGGAGGCTTGTAGAGGGCTGGGGGGGGGACAAAAATGAGCAAAGAACGGTGCATTTTTTGCTCATTTCTGCCCTCAGCAGTCCTCTAGAAGCCTCCTAAAGGCTATGCATGGCCATTTTGATGAAGGGGGCGGGGTTTCGGGAGGCAAAAATTATTCAATGTATAAGATGCACCCAGATTTTCACCCTCTTTTTTGAGGGAAAAGGGTGCATCTTATACTCTGAAAAGTACGGTAGTTTCCATCCATTACTTCATTGAATTGGAGTTGAAATTGAGTTTATTTGGATTTCAACTCAAAATGTCATTTACTTAAAGGCAGAAATAATGGTTTCACATGGAACAGAAGGGGAAAATGAAACTCAAAGCTGAGCCACTGAACAGTGAATTTCAAACTATTTGAGAACAAAATATATGCCTATAAAGTTGAGGATGAAAGAGTAGAAATTACTGCAATCAAAGAGATGTAATGGTAACAGTTGGCAATGTAGTGGTACTTATTCAATTTATATATGTTATGAAGGATCTACACAGATTAGTAATGTTACTGAGATTTTCAGCCAAAGTTCTATCAGTTGATAGACTCTAAAGGAAGTAAAGGATTAGGAGGATTTAAATATCAAGGTATAGGTCAGCGAGGGCAAACCTTTTTTGGCTTCAGTAAGGGGGTAGCGCAGGGAGGTCGTGCGTGGGTGTGCCGCACCCATAATGCAATGCACGACACCCCCTCCAGTGCGCATACGCGCATGAGAGGCGCGATCCCCCATTTTTTGCATGCTTTTTTCACCTCCCCAGCGTCCAGAGGCTTTATAGGAGCCTGGGGAGGGTGAAAAAAGTCTCCCTTGCCCCCCCCCCCGGGGGGGGGCTCCAGAGGCTTCAGGGAAGCCTCCTGAAGGTCCCTGAAGTCTCCGGAGTGCTTAAATAGACCCTACAAGCAAGCCGGAAGTCCGTTCCCAAACTTCCAGTTTGCCCATAGCCCCCCCCTTTTTTTTTTTCCCCTTGCACTCGGAGGCTTCAGGGAAGCTCCTGAAGCCTCTGGGGAAGGCTCTTTTCGCCCTCCCCAGGCTCCTATAAAGCCTTTGGAGCCTGGGGAGAGTGAAAAATGCCTTTAAAAAAGGCTGAACTGAACTGAAAAATGGCCAAAAAAGAAGGCCAAAGTCAGCTGGCCAGCACACGCATGCATGTTGGAGCTGACAGGGCAACACCTCACGTGCTCTGACAAATGGCTCCGTGTACCACCTGTAGCACGCATGCCATAGGTTCGCCATTCTGGGTATAGGTTGTTTCCCAGTTCCTTTTCTTTTAATAGTTTAGACAAAATAGACAGCAATTCGCTAATAGCAATTACTGTGTTAAGCAGTTTGATAAATAATATACATTAATGGCTGCCATAAGTATAGAATATTTATGTTATATAATAAGTGATTGGTGGAGCATGTATAAATCAGAATTATCAGTAATGATTTCTTAATAAAAGGAATAGAAAAGAATAACAGTTGGAAGGGACCTTGGAGGTCTTCTAGTCCAACTCCCCTCTTAGGCAGGAAATCCTACATCACTTCAGACAAATGGTTATCTAATCTCTTCTTTAAAACTTCCAGTGTTGGAGCATTCACAACTTCTAGAGGCAAGTTGTTTCACTGATTAATTGTTCTAACTTCTTGCATGGATGCTAAATATGCTTCTTTATTAACAATTCGATAGTATGATGTAATTCTATTGGTAAAAGTAAATATGCATCTTTTTTCCAGATTGCAGCAAAAATTGGAAATGAATCAGGGACATCTGTGAATTCAAATGATTACAGTTATGGGGGACAAAAAAGACCTCTTGAAGATGGAGGTATGCTGCAAGATATATACTTTCTCAAAATTGTAAACTGATTGAAGAGTGCGTGTGAGAGCTTGTGCAGTTTCTGCTTAAAAGACGAAATAGTCCATCTTAAGCATATACATGATTTTTAGATATGACTTTAAAAGCCAGCTAGGTACTCGTAAAAGTAGATAGCAATGATGTTTACATTTTAAGAATCTGGGAAGGTAGGTAAATATTATTTGAAAACTCATCTTTGTATTAAAACATTTAAAAATTCTATAGTGAATTCAAAACACTCTTCTTGAATTACTCTTTCAGACTTTGCATTGTGCAGGTGCAACATTTTAAAATGAAACTTAGTTTCACCAACATTACAAATTTTCAGCTAGATTTTGGAGAAAATGTCTTCTAAATTGTTTGAACCCAGATAAGATGATGCTGTGACCTTTTTTTCCTTCTACAATGTGTTAGCGAAATATATAGCAAGCTTAATTTTTAGGCTCATGGGCTTAAACAAGTTTATTGTGTTTATCTTTTAAAAGTGTGTAGTATTTTTTAAATTCATGAAGACAGATTTCTGATCTTGGAAGAGATGTAGGCTTTGAAGGAATATAATTTTGTTTGCAGAACATTTCCAAGGCTCTTGACAAGGAGTACTTGTGTACTTTAATGAAGTGCCTTTTATTAATGGTGAGGCTTTTAATATTCAAGATTGAGCTAATGATGCTTCAAATGATGTATGTAATGTATTCTTTTTATTTTATGTGTAGATGGCTCTTGGACAAGTCCGAGCAGTACAACACACTGGGAGGGAATGCCCTCTCCTTTTAAAGGCAGGAATTTTTATTTATTACCTGTGTTTAGTATGTAAACGTGAAATGAACTAGTGAATCTTTTGCAATGGATGACACACACATTTCTTGGAATATGTGTCTGACTTTTACTGCACTTAATCATGGTGGTTCATGTATTCCTTAATATGGGGTGGGAAGGAAACATTTAAAGTAATTTTTATCAGATTTTGGTTATCTACGACTTTCACTCATACTAAACGAATTTGGATAGTAGCTATGGTAGTGGTTTTGAATTTCCTGTTTGAAGTTTTATGCTGTGAAATTTTCAGTATTTGAAAAGGAAGCTTGAATGACAGTCCCCAGTTTGAGATTGTATTGCTATGTGTTGGTTAAATTTTAAACTTTGATTTTCTGTTTAATATTGTGGTTGTTGTCAGATTTAATTGTAGAATGATTATTTCTCACAATGGTGGTTGTTTCAGTTTTTGTTACAGAAGCATCATTAGCTTTAGTGTCAAATTACTAATAATACAGTTAAATGTTTGTTACATTTTAGTGCCTGGATATCCATGATACCGTTTTTAAACCTGTGTGTTTTTATTGAACTTGACACGTGATAAATGAAAATACTTTGCATTTTTCCCCAATTACACTAACCAAATGTTAAACATATAAGATTTTTCTTTGTTTAGATGATCTATTCCCTGAAAATTCAAAAACATGCTAAAATGCACTGGACAAGTTGCGTTCTGAACTTCTGGAACAGCCATTTATTTAAGTTATCTATATTTATGACCCAAAACATTTAAAAAATTCTTAATTTTGCAGATCAACCAGAACCTAAGAAAGTTGCTCCCCCAAACAATGATTGTAAGTATTTATGATTTGTTGTAACATTATCATGCTATTAAATATATATTGCACACAAATTAATGCTGCTATTTAAGTTGTGTATATTGATCTATTCTTATTCTCTCCATCCCTAAGAGCAAACATTTGCAATTTTGTATTATCTTGCTATGCACAGGATTCTGCTAGGTGGTTTCAGCAGGAATTAGGAGCAGAGCTCCTGTTAGTCTCTGTTGATAAAAAAAATCAGGAATCTGGTACAGGTAATCCTCTATTTACTATCACAACTGGGCCCAAAATTTATGTTGCTCAGCAAGGCAGTTATTAAGTAAATCATGTCCCATTTTATGACATTTTTTGCAATGGTGAAATGATTCACTACAGTTGTTAAGTGAATAATATAGTTGTTATGCAAATCTGGTTCCTTCCATTGACTTTGCTTATTAAGAAGCTCCCTAGGAAGGTTGCAAATGACAATTCCAGGACCGTGGGACACTGTAACCATTGTAAATACCAGCCGGTTGCCAATTACCCAAAGTTTGATCATGTGACAAGATATGGTGCAATTGTCATAAATGTGAGAACTGATCATATGTCACTTTTTTCAGTGCTGTTGTAACTTTGAATCGGCATTAAATTAATGGTCATAAGTCGAGGACTACCTATACCACTTTTTCCAACTAAGAAATTTTATTAAAAGGCATAAACTTTCATAAGCTATAATTTATCAGCTGCATAAAGTGGTTGTCCTGCATTGTAGACAGTTTGCTGATTTTTGCTAGTAAGTAGTAATATATAAGTAGGAAAATAACCTTAATGAATAACAAGTAATTAATGCCGTTTGATTAAAAAAAATAACCAAAATTCAATTTGGTTTTGTGTTAGTGAAACGGAATAATAAAAAGTTGTTTATCATTTTTCCAAATAACAGGTTAATATTAATCCTTCAGCTGACATCTTTTTAGTCAGGAGTCTTTTCTAATTTACTTGGGGATTATCTATATTCTAATAATGGTACACAAGATTTCACCTACAGGAGAAAATAGATTTAAAGGGATATTGGATAATTCAGTAGTTTAGATATTTGTTTTAAGAGTTCCACTTTGAAAGTTATATTCTGACAGGAGTAAGTATGTGCAGTTGTGATAAAATGTTTTAAATTTAGCATGGGTCACTCACTTTTGCCATTCTCCAAGCTTGCATGGTCTTATTGTGGGGTTGGTGGAGGACTATAGATTCAACTTTTCGAGTGGCTGTTTATAAACTTGAAGTAATTTCAGTTTGTGAACAGGTACAGGGATTTTTGAATCAATCTTTATTCCTGAGGATTATGTACCAAGGAATCCAGAATAAGCTATATTTTAATAGGGTTTTAATTAAAAGACAGCTAAAGTCACATGGGTTTAAAGCCATAAAGCAAGATTTATAATGGTGCTTATTGAGTTTCCATACCACTTTAACCCAAAACTTAACAAACATATATAGAATATATAGAATATAGATATGTAGATATGGAATATGACTTATTTATTTATAGTTGCTTGCTTAGGTATAGAGATGACCTATCAAAGTTTTGGAATTTTAAAAAAAGCTTCCTTTCCAAATAGAAGACAAGGTATTCTACAGCTAAAAATGTTTTAAATAGTCACAAAATGTAATGAAACATTTCCTTTAATTTTAAGCAAGTTAAATAGAAATAATGGAATCCTGTAGATAGACTATTAAACAAAATAATTATTATTTTGGTTTTTTTACATAGTGAGATTATAAAGTTTAGCAATATAAGCTCTTTCTTTCCTGTAAGTTCTTAGAAGTGTTTATGTGGTGTTCATTTCCTTTTTATTATTTATGTATTGCTTCCAAGCCATATTTTGGTAGTAATCTGCGCTACCTCAGTAGAAATGTGTATGATACTGCCAAAAGTTCCTTTTATGTTGAATCATACTGTTCAATCAGTAAATCAATACTTAGAATTCTTTTGATTTTATTTCAAAATTATTTTAACTCATTTATATATTCAGTTTTCTCAGTTTGATGAAGGTAGAAATGAAAATTTAGAACTTGGACTTTAATTTTTTTTATCCCTTCTATCTAGAAGTAAGATCTACTGACTTACTACCTAACTTAATGTAATTTAGGTAGTTAGATTTAGTATTGCAGCTGGAACAAAATTTAAGACAGTGGCTGTTTTTGTTAAATCTGTTCAGCAGTTATAATTATATCGAATCATATTTGAAGTACAGAGTTACTAGGTTTCATTGAATAACATCTTTATTGATAGCCCTTCATATATGAAGCATCATTTAGCTTTTTCTCTATAAAACTTGGTTTCATTTAAAAATATAAAAAGTTAAAATGAAGCAGAATAGTTTCAATCAACCTTGAATGCTAAGCAACAATATTTTCTCAAAAAATAAGAACTTTTTCCATTGTATTAATTGTTGATAGTTTACAGTTTGAATGATTACATTGTAGTGTTGAATATAGCAACCAGTTTTTATGTTATGAATTTGCATTTTAATTTGCATAGTATATGAATATTTAAATGCAGCAGCCATTTCTGCTTGAAAACCATATGTATGACAAGTCCTGCTTCCTGTTCAGTTATACTCTGAGTGTTTAGGGCAGTGGAAGCTCATTACTTCAGTAGAAGTATTGTGTGATGCAAGAAAACATGTGAAGTACAAAGAAAGAATATGGGGGGAAACTTTTTAAGTGAAAAGCCCTAGCTCAACCCAGCATCTAACACATCTGTTTGGCCTTAGAATTAAACAGGATCAGGCCTTCAATAATTGAATGGTAGCCCTGTAGATGCTATAAAATTGTAGACTATGAACACTTCCTGAAAGAAAATAGTTAACAACAACTTCTAGGTGCTGGCTATCAAACTTGATTTAAAGGAGACTTTGCCTTGGTATTATGTGGTTTTTTCCCTTCCCTTTCACATTTTTATTTCCAATTTACATAAGCTTCCATTTTTCTTTACTTGCCAAATAGTAAATTATTTTTGCTTGCCAGGACTTGCAAATCATAGCTTGTCAGTTGATCTAGAAGTATACTAGAGAGAAAGAAAGCTAAGCTAAACATCATGTGGAATTGACCATGTGTGCTTTTTTTTATTAGTACCAATTTTGAGCTACCGCATTTGTGATATATTTCTGGGTTAATGTTTTGGTGAAATATGTAATGTTAGTCAAATGCAAATATATTGAAATGAAACTAGTCCTGCATGTTTTTGCAGTTGTGCATTAAATGCCATTATTGTAGGTAAAATTATCAAAGTATGTAATATTTTATTTTAGCTTTTGGAAATCAGTTACCACCCATGCATCAGCAACAGAGGTAAGATTTTTATTCTCTTTAATTTGATCCTTATACAAGGTAACAACTTTCATTGGTTTGATTTACAAATTGTTATGTTATCAGTATCATGAAATGTGCTTTGGAAATTATATTGTCCCTTGAGAGCAAAAATCTGTTGATTGAAAGTAATGTTCATATAGTTATTTCAATCAGTAATTGAAATAATTATAACTTCAACTGATTGGGGAATTTTTATTTACTGTTTGCCTGGTAATGTTCACCATAGGTGACATTGAAGCACATGAGGTAATTAGTTGAGTAGGGATAAAAATTAGGTTTTTAAGTCACATGTTAAACAGCTATGTAGCTGAAAATGTTTGTTGTTTACTGTGTTACTTCAGTGAAAGTTAATTGCATTTCTTTTAATGCTCATTTCCATTACATTCAGCAACATAGATATAGTTTTCCCCATTAGTTTGAGTTCATATGGCACAAGTCAGGTTGTTTCTCACTCTTTTTTGAAAATAAGATGCCTATTCAGCATAATGCAGACAAAGTATTTTCTCTTTGTTGCAACATTTGTTAAATATGTATGTTGTATATATAAAAAATGAAAAAGGATGGGCTGCATTAGATTCCACAATGTCTCCTGAAATCTTTTAGTTGTAATTGTACTGTCTTTCACCTATTAGTATAAAACATTGCCATATATAACTTAGAATTAAGTGTGTTCATTTGAAAAAGAAAACTTAGTTTTGGTGAAATTTCCTAACATTTTAGTTCCCATTTATGTTCTTATTATATTTTTTTGCTTTACGTGTGACTTACCTTTTCAAAAAATAAAATAATATTATGTATCATTGAAATGGAAATAAATTGCAATAAGTTACCAAAATCATACATTATAAGTGGCTTCAACATTATTGGAATTTTGACATTTTAACTAATTGGCTAATATTTGACTGCCTGGGTTAAAATATTAATTGGATATATTATTTTTTAGGCAGTGATTTAAACAAATACTGAAACCAAAGGACTAACCGAATAGAAGTAAAATTAGCATCTATATCTAGCTATATCTATATTTCTTTACTTCTTTATTTGGAGGGAAAAAAATAGTTCTAACTAGGTACAAATATTAACTTGTGGTGTGTTTCTTTCTCCAGGTCTGTAATGACAGAAGAATACAAAGTTCCAGATGGAATGGTTGGATTCAGTGAGTGTATATATATATATATTTATGTACTACATTATATTTAAAACGGTTGGAGTGCATGATGTTCATGCATTAACTGATTTGTTTGTCCATTTCTCAAGTAATTGGCAGAGGGGGAGAACAGATATCTCGCATACAGCAAGAATCTGGATGTAAAATACAGATTGCACCTGGTAATTATTTTATTTTCTTTAATTTATTAGGTTACAGTTGGAACTTAATTTGTTGTTGCATGCACATAAATTAGTTTTAATAATTGTCAGTTCATGTCAGTGAAATTGAAACAATCATGAATTAGTTGTTGCTACAAATCTTAAAAGCAAATTACTAATATCTGCTTACAAGCATTCATTCTATGCTATTTACATTTGTAGATAGTGGTGGGCTTCCTGAAAGATCTTGTATGTTGACTGGAACACCTGAATCAGTACAGTAAGTTTCTTCACAAATGCTTTCAGACCATGTTGAAATAATTTTTGTTAAGAATTTTCTTTCCAAATATATTTTCTTTCCAATATAAGTTCTATATTTGCCTAATAAAAGTGTCTCAGGCTGTATGCTTCTTCACATGAAATATATCTAGCTCTGACTCTGAAATATGAACAATCTGCAGTGCAAAGTTTTCTGATTTTTCAGTTAAGTGCTTTTACCTACTCACTGAAAAATACTACTTTTCCAGGATGTTTGGAACATTCAGTAGCTCTAATGAGGCTAATTAACAGGTAGTCCTCAACTTAGAATCAGTTTCTTAGCAACCATTTGAAATTATAACAGATCAGATTTGGAATGCAAATGTTTGCAGTTCTGACATGGCCAACATTTTGGACACCCAGCAACAAGGCCACATGTGTACCATCCACAGTCAAATGATAGCAATTTACAACGTTTTTTCCAGCATATACTTCCATTTCCTGAAAAAAAAATCCCATAGCGAACAGTGAGTTTGCTTAACAATCAGTGCAAAAATTGTTATGAAATCAGGCACAATCACAAGATGACCCTCTCTATAATGCTATTATTTTAAGAAAAAGTGCAATAGGTACACAACATGTTTACTTTCGAAGTATGCATTCACAATAATTTATTGAATAGTCTTTTAGCAATACTTGTACATTCATGATCAGCCAAGTAACTAAGTTTTGGCTAGAATTCAATTATAATTGTTTTCTCAAGTCGCACACAGCAGGTGAAGTATACTATTGGTTTAGTGTGGCTGTTAGTAGTATGAAGAAATCACATGCATTCTCATTTTCTCTACTGTTCCCATTTAATATTGCTGCAAATGACACATTTCAAAGTTTATAAAATAAATTATTTCATGATTTTTAGTTAGCAACCACCCTAAATATTCTGTCAATTGCTGAATATATTATTTTTCATACATTTTTTAATTGCAAATGTTTGTTTTTTTTTGCAAGATCTGCAAAGAGATTGCTCGACCAGATAGTTGAAAAAGGAAGACCTACTCCAGGATTCCATCATGGTGATGGCCCAGGAAATGCTGTCCAGGAAATCATGATTCCAGCTAGCAAAGCAGGATTAGTTATTGGAAAGGGTGGAGAAACTATAAAGCAGCTTCAAGTAAGCTGACATTTTATTTTCTAAAATTATGTGTGAATATTAAATATTTTTATGGTCTGAATGCATTAATTTTATTAAATAGGAGCGTGCAGGTGTTAAAATGGTAATGATTCAAGATGGACCACAGAACACTGGAGCAGATAAGCCTCTTAGGATCACAGGAGATCCTTACAAAGTCCAAGTAAGAACAGATTTTAAACGTTAAATTGTATTTCTCACAAAAGAAATGGTTGTAAAATCATTGCATCTTATGTGTACTTGTTTTTCTTTCAGCAAGCAAAGGAAATGGTTTTAGATCTAATTCGTGATCAAGGTGGCTTCAGAGAGGTACGAAATGAATATGGATCAAGAATAGGAGGCAATGAAGGATTAGATGTGAGTATGTGATGAATATTTTAGGCAAATTTGTACTTTAGGCCTGTTTTCATCCTTATCTATGAACAAACAAATTTCTGATTCTTTTCACTAATTTAAACCATCTTGATTATGATGCTTTTACTCTCTGTTAAATACTGATCATAAAATTGACTTTGAAATGCTTAAAAATACTGCAGACTAATTTCTCCTTCAAGTATTCTTACTCAATTGATTACTGTTATAATGCTGTTTTTCCTAAAGTTACATATTATATTGATTTGCTTTAAAATTCTTATTGAACATTTGTTAAAATGTATTGTGTTTCTTAAGGTACCAATACCACGGTTTGCAGTTGGTATTGTAATTGGAAGAAATGGCGAAATGATAAAAAAGATACAGAATGATGCTGGTGTAAGGATTCAGTTTAAACCAGGTAGAGTTTCCATGGGAAAGCACATAGATTGCATGTTTTATCTATAATACTTAAATACTTGTAAAAATACTTATTGCTCTTGTAGATGATGGAACAACACCTGATAGAATAGCACAGATCACAGGACCACCAGACAGATGTCAGCATGCAGCTGAAATTATTACAGATCTTCTTCGAAGTGTTCAGGTTGGTTAATAGTTTGGTCAAGTTTTTAATTACTCTTATAAAATACTGATGTTTCCTTTTTCATAACTTTTATTAGGAAGACATGTGCATGAACATTTTTCTGTTAAAACTAACTTGAGATGCCTGAAGTTTATAAATTTGTATTTCACTGGTTCTGTGCCTCTAGTGGTGAGTTTTATTCAGCAGTAATGCTTTAAAAGCATTGATTATAAACTATGTAAGATTTTTTAAACAAAGCCAATGTCTTAAAGAAGAAAGATACTTGGCTATTCCAAACATGTTTTTTCAAGGGGCAACTAGACTTTTTTTCCCCTTGAAGACACTTCACTTTTCATCCAAGAAGCTTCTTCAGTTCTTGGATGAGAAGCAAAAGATCCTTTGAAAGTCCAGTTGCCTCTTGAAAAAAAGCATCTTTGGGATAACCATGACCTGGATGACTGAGAATCTCCATAGACACGGAGATTCTCCATCTACTTGGAAATTGATAGACATAATTTTCAGTTGAAAGCGATACTAAATAGCAGTAGACTTATATACTGCTTCATAGGCCTTTCAGGCCTCTCTAAGCGGTTTACAGAGTCAGAAAATGCCCCCAACAATCTGGGTCCTCATTTTACCCACCTCGGAAGGATGGAAGGCTGAGTCAACCCTGAGCCGGTGAGATTTGAACCGCTGACCTGCTGATCTAGCAGTAGCCTGCAGTGCTGCATTTAACCACTGCGCCACCTTGGCTCTAAAGTTGTGTGCTGTGCCATGATCCTTAATTAGCAGTCGGTGTGCTATACCTGCGGGTACTACCGTTATTTGTGGCATTCCCAAATGTTTTTGCATATACCCCAAATTATTTTATTACTGAAATCATGTGAAACTGCCAATTCATTGGTATTTTCACTTAATGTCCCCATGTCCTTTGCTCTTAGGAGGGAAAGTAGAAATCTTACAAGCGATAATGGCTTAGAATGATTTATTTCATTTATATCCTACATTAGAGGTTTTTTTTTAGAGGTTTTATTAACATTTATAGGCCGCCCTTTTCCCTGAGGGGACTCAGGGCGGCTTACATAAAATCAAGGGGGGGGATATACAAACAGTAACGCAGACAAACATAGAATAAAATAATGAGCAACGTTCATTCATCATTCGGGAGGGGGCAATTATCTTTGTCCCCAGGCCTGACGGGCTAGCCAGGTCTTAAGGGCTGTGCGGAAGGCCTGGACGGTGGTGAGGGTACGAATCTCCACGGGGAGATCGTTCCAAAGGGTCGGAGCTACTACTGAGAAGGCTCTCCTTGTAATTGCCAGCCGGCACTGGCTGGCAGATGGAACTCGGAGGAGGCCCAATCTATGAGATCTAATTGGTCGCAGGGAGGTAATTGGCAGAAGGCGGTCTCTCAAGTATGCAGACCCACTACCATGGAGGGCTTTATGGGTGACAAGTAGCACCTTGAAGCGCACCCGGAGATCGACAGGTAGCCAGCGCAGCTCGCGGAGGATAGGTGTTATGTGGGTGAACCGAGGTGCACCCACAATCACTCGCGCGGCTGCGTTCTGGACTAGCTGAAGTCGCCGGATGCTCTTCAAGGGCAGCCCCATGTAGAGCACATTGCAGTATTCCAGCCTAGAGGTCACAAGGGCCCGAGTGACTGTTGTGAGAGCCTCCCGATTACTCTGAGAACGTAGCCTGGTGAATTGTATTTGATTTTCATAGCATAAGCCTTCCCACAATAGGTTAAACCAAGAGTTAATGAGCACCCCAGAATTACTAGGTGAGATATATAGTCAAGTGAGGGCTTGGAACCTATATTACTAAGTAAGCTAGAGTAGTAGGAAGAAGAAAAATCAAGATTGTTATTGTTTTGTTCAGAAAAGTGTTTTCTTTGTTTAAATGAAATAGTTTGGTTGTTTTGATTGGTAGTTCTGTGAAGAAAAATGACATACTATTGGCTTTTACAAGTCTTATCTGTCCTCTTGTTTTAAAGCAAAATAGAAATAATGCTTCTGAAAAAAACAATACTTTTTCAGTATTGCTAATTACAATTCTTTTTACAATTTAGGCTGGCAATCCTGGAGGTCCAGGGCCTGGTGGTCGTGGTAGAGGAAGAGGTCAGGGAAATTGGAATATGGGACCACCTGGTGGACTGCAAGAATTTAACTTTATTGTTCCCACTGGAAAAACTGGATTAATCATTGGGAAAGGTAAAAAGCTTGACTTATTTTTCATGAGCTAGAACAATAAATAAGCTATTTTCCTGTTTGAGGGCAGGATATGGCATTTATCATTGAATAACTCACTTCCTGGTCCTTGTTGAAGTATCTACCTGATAATAAAATCTGGTTGCAGAACTTTTGTACAGAAAACAGTAGCAACTAAGATATCACAAATGAACTTTAGCCAGTTGGAGTGCTACTGTCCTTAGCCGCCTTACTCTGAAAATGATTACTTCTGGAAATGGACTTCTCATTATAAATAAGCATGCTTCTATCCTACAAATCAAAACAACAATAGAATTTATGATACCTCCATCCTAGGAAAAAGATTGGACCATATGTAAAGTCTTAAATATCCAGTGAGGAATTGAAACTAGACTTCACAGTTAACATTCTTGGCTTTTTTTCAGTGATTTGATTTGAATATTGATTGCAGCTAATTTATTTTCTTAAACATTTCTTAGAAAGCAGTTTAAACTGCTTTCTCACTATCCATTACTGTTCCTGAAATCTGCGTTATTTCCCAAATCATCGTATTTTTTGGAGTATAAGATGCACCTTTTTCCCTCAAAAAAGAGTGTGAAAATCTGAGTGCGTCTTATACACTAAATACAGCATTTTTTGCCTCCCGAAACCCTGCCCCCTTCACCAAAATAGCCATACATAGCTTTTAGGAAGCTTATAGACTGCTCCTGCGGGCTGGGGAGGGCAGAAATGAGCAAAAAGGGGGCTGTTTTTTGCTCAATTTTGCCCCAGCGCCCAAGAGCCTTCTAAATGCTATGCATGCCCTTTTTTGACAAAAAATCGGCCTCTTTTTTGCTCGGTTTGGGGGGGGGGCAACCGCAGGAGCACTCTAGAAGTCTCCTAAAGGCTATTCATGACCTGGGGGGGGGTGTTTTTGTGCGATCTGCAGAGTGCAAAAACTTTTTTTAAAAAAATTGCCTCTTCAAAATCTTGGTGCGTCTTATACTCTGAAAAATGTGGTATACTTGAACATTCTAATTCTTTTCAATTTTATAAAAGTGTCCCATTTAGAGTTGTTCTTTGTGTAATACATGAATCACATTGGCTGTCCAGATGTCAACAAAATGAGTGAATCAGCTAATAATAATAGCCTTTGTTGTCATTGTACATCTTGTATACGACAAAATTGGTTTAGTCTGTAATCTTTGGTTAATTCATTCACAAATAAAAACCTCAGGTGATTATTTCATTTGAAGTAATATTTGAAAATACATTCCATGTATTTTTCTCTCATTCCTTCTACTTTGTATACTCACTAGTTTATTGAATGCTTCATACAGACGATGAAAGTGGAACTTTGGGTTTAGCATTAAAACCTCCCAAACTCAACAACATATTGTTCTATTTTCAGATACATATGTTGCAAATGTATCTCTGACCTCCTTTGATTTCTTAAAGCAATTAAAGCTATTCAGGGTTTTCCAGAATCTCGACTGTGAATTGGAACTGTGGAACTGCTTGCACAGTTGAAGAGTACCGTATAGATGACGACACAAAATTACATGGTTCTTGGATCTCCAAGAAATAAAATTAAACACAACTACGAACAAAAAATGGATTAAAAGTAGAATAATGTTTAAAACTATACATGCTGTATCAGTAGTAATATAATGTCGCCAAAATAGTTCTGTTCTCACTTCAGGGGCAAGCAAATGTGATTTTTGTTGTTATTTTTTCTAATTAAGGTTATTAACATATAGATTACAGTATAATACAATTTCTTTGTAAATTCAGGTGGTGAAACTATCAAGAGCATTAGTCAGCAATCTGGTGCAAGAATAGAACTTCAGAGGAATCCTCCACCAAATGCAGATCCCAACATGAAATTATTTACTATTCGAGGGACACCACAACAGATTGATTATGCTCGGCAGCTTATAGAAGAAAAGATTGGAGTGAGTTCTGGAAATAGTTTTTTGTTAATGTTTTTGTTGTAGAAACAACTGGGTTAAGTACAGACAGAATAGGATTAGCTTTTTAAATTTTCTCTTTGTTCAGAATCCTTATGATATTGCTAACTTTGAACAGTCCCATTTAAAATTACAATTGTCAAATTTGTTGCCTATTCTTAAAGACTAATGAGAAATTTAAATGCGGGATTGCTTATTCTGCACAGTCTACTGAATGATGAGAATTTAACATGCATTAAAAAGTGTATAATTAAGTGATACAAAATACAGAAAATTAATGAATGGAACATGTCTGCATTTTGTGAAATGTCTGTATAAATTGTCCTCAAGTTACAAAGGTAACTGGGATTGGAAATTTATATCAATAGGTGAGACAATCAAAGTGTGACATAATGTGTCCACAAGCTTAGCAATGGCAAGCCCAGCATTCCCTTTTATTGTTAAGCAAGGACTGTGGGACATTAAGCAAGCATATCCACAAGTTCCTGCTGGCTTCCAACAACCAAAATCGGGGGAAGTTGTCAAGAAGTTGCAAGTTCCAGGCAGGTTGCAAACATGCAGTGTGGCTACTGCCAGGTGGAAAGGGAGCAACGGAGTGCATGGGTAGTTGGGTGGCATGATGCAAGAATGGCAGAGCTTAAGGTGGCAACGGCTGCGTTGGAATATATGCAAGAGTCTGGGAGGTTGAAGGACTGGTCATAACTACTGTTCACTCATTCAGTACAGTCATTGAACCAGCTATCATTAACCAAGGACTATCTGTAATTTGAGTAAACTTCCCTTTGATCTCTTATTTCTCTGCCCTCAATTGTTCTGATGTGATGAGTTGCAAGCTAAGGAGATAACAGTTATGTTAGAGATAGTCAGGTTATGACCATTCGTTCAGCTATTAAAGTTACGATGGCACTGAATGAATGATAGTTTGGACCCATCCTTGAAATTCTGGCTTGCACTTATAATGGTTGCAGCATTCTATATACACATGACTAATTTGTGATCTTTCCTGTTGACTTTCCACAAGCAAAGTTTTTCTTATCAAGCCACGCAGTGTTTTTAGGAACTGTTGAAAACAGGCTGAATATTAAAAATTCATATCTTCATTAATTTATCAGCTTGAGGAAAGAGAACCATTCCACCAGTTTTAGTAATAGCCTGTTTGTATCTATCCAGGTTTTGCCCTTAGGTCCAGTGTTCTTAAACTTGGGACTATCTGTACAGTGTAATCTTATACTTGCTATTGATGTAGAATAACCTATTATAACTTATCAACAGGGTCCAGTAAATCCTTTGGGGCCCCCTGTGCCTCATGGACCTCATGGTGTTGTTCCTGGGCCACATGGACCCCCTGGGCCACCTCCTGGGGCTCCAATGGGACCTTACAATCCAGCTCCTTATACTCCTGGCCCTCCTGGTCCTGCACCTCAGTAAGTATTGTACACTAGTAGATATGTTTGCAGAGCAAGATCTTGTTGAATTGGGATCTAGATTTCAGCTATAGATTCTATACAGTTTTTAAATGTGCTTGTTCTATAACCAAACTCTTAGAAACATTCACTTTAGGGTAGCATTTAACTGAACATTATTCTGAATAAAATATATATTATAAACTGTTTAATTCATACTTAGTGTGCTGTAAATCATTAATTCTGAAGCATACATATGACGGGATTCTTGTAGGCTTTCTAGGCCAGTTCTCTTCTTTATGGAGATAATCAGAATATTCTTAGTAGATTGCAATCTAGCTTTTGCAGCGGACTCCCAAATCACCAATAGTAAAAATAGCTATTATAAATAGTTACTATTTATAATTTACTACTTGAGCTAATTATATTATATTTTCATTTTAGTGGACCTCCAGCACCATATGCTCCACAAGGATGGGGTAATGCATATCCACATTGGCAACCACCAAATCCCCCAGACCCTGGTAAGTAAAAGCAAATGTATAAATGGTCCTAGTTTGCAATGATATGCACATTAATCACATCTTTTAGTAAAGAAAATGTAATGAAACTAAATCATTCATTAAACCATATTCATTTCATTTTGGCAGTCTAATAGCAAATTAAAACAAATGTGAAATTTACTTTTGAATAGGATTGTTCAAAAATGTTAAGACACATTTAGCACAGATAGTTGTGAAAACCCAGTAAGTTATGTTTACACAAAATCCTTGATTAACAACCACAACTGGAATCTCAGTTGTTGGGCAAAGTGGTCATTAAGCAAGGCATCCATTTGACTGCCTCTCTCAACTACTGCAATCTCAGCAGTCCTAGTTGTGGTTGTTAAGCAATCTTGTTAAAATTGTTAAGAGTTAAAATCTGGCAGAGAAAATTGCAAATGGCAAATGCAGGATCACAGGGCACTTTACAGCTGGTCTAAACTCTGAACAGTTGCCAAGCATCCAGTTCACGATAATGTGACCATAGGAGTGGTGGTGCAACATTTTGCAACTGCCAGAAGTTCTTTAAGGGCCATAAAGCATCCTTTCCAATACCATGGTATCTGGACTGTCATATCAACAGTAATGAACCAATTACCTATACGTTGAATATTTCAGATAGCCAAAATTCACTCTGAATTAAATATGGAGTTAAATTTAGAACCAATTCTAAATTTGGACAGGATGATGGACAGAAAGATAGAAAAACTGGAAGGGGATTGTTTCATTTACGTGCTATCGTGGACAATTTAATCTGTTCTATGTGAACAGACTAACTATTTTACTTTTGGAGAGTTTAATTTATAGATCTATCTTTCATAAGAATTGAACTAAATGTCATGCGTAATTTTCAGGTAAGCCAGCAGATCCTAATTCAGCAGCATGGGCAGCCTATTACGCCCACTACTATCAACAGCAAGCACAGCCACCCCCTGCAGCTCCACCTAGCGCACCACCTGCCACTCAGACTAACGGACAAGGTACCGTGCTTGTATCAATATAACAAATATCAACTTTTTTTAACAGTTGAAGTATCTTATTCAAACCTTAGAATATTTTGAAAGAGTTGTTTTATTATGATTTCATCAATTACATATTTGAAGCTTTGTATGTTGTAAGCTGGATTCAGTATTAAACTCAGTAAGACAAATCTAAAGATGTTTGGGACAGCATTAGATTGATGAGAATTTCTTCCTGAAAAATAACTTTAGAAAACAAATCTTGAATTTTAGACACATTTTATGAGAAGGATGATAGTTGTATTTAATTGGCTCATCAACATAATTGTTTGGAATATAAGAAAACTAGTAAGAAAGAAATATGGAGATTACTGGAAAGATTAGGAGTTACCCAAATCCCAGCCCAACTTTGGTTGTGCGCTGACGTGCCACACCCATAAGGCTATGCGTGGGACTCACACACGCATGTGCGCAACCCTCACCCTCCCATATTTCGGGCGCGGTGGACATGTTTTTCGCCTTTCCCAGGCTCCAGAGGCTTACTAGGAGCCTTGGGAGGGCAAAAACAGCCCCTCCAGAGGCTTTAGGAGACTTCCCTAAAGGGAAGGGGGAAAAACAGCCCTACGGGCAACCCAGAACTTCGGGACTTCCGGGTTGCCTGTAGTGCCATTTTTCGCCCTCCAGAGGCTTCAGGGAAGAGAGAAAGCAAGAGAGAGGAAGAGAGAAAGGAGATGGGGGGATGGATGTATGTATTTGGAGACAAATCAAAACCAAATGCAAGCAAGAAATACGGAATTTGGCTTAGATAGCTAGAAAGCAAGTTGCCTGGAAAGCAAGTTCTTTGGAACAAGAATCATATGGTTCTCAGCACAGCCATTTAGACTTGGCATGGGGTTGCTGCGGCAACTTGACTGTCTCATCTTCAGCTCGGACTTACTCATCCCGGAAGAGCTTCATGTTTTGGGGGGGAAGCGCTGCTTGCCAGTGTTAATATTCTCCCGCCGTCAGGGAGGTGAGATCAAGTTAAGCTCCTCAATGTAGGGCAGCATCCTTACGCCCCAACTTTTATGAAGGAGGAAGGAGAACTGCGGGCAGTCCGACAGCCTCAGTAGTAGCAGTAGTAGTAATACAGGTAGCAGCATCAGCAGTTTCTTTGGCAAGACTCACTCACACACACAACACACACACAGCCATCAGCCACCGCACACTAAAGAAGCTGGCGGCACCGAGGGAGTTGACCAGCTGGCTGTGCAAAATAAGGTGCCCTTGACTGTCCACAGTTCTCCTTCCTCCTCTCACCCATCCTCCTTCAGGGGCTTCCCACCCTCTGCTCTGCATGCAGCTCTGCCCGGCTGCCTCTTTCCTATGCTCCCTTCCTCCCAGCGATTCTGCTCAGCAACTGCCCCCTCTCCGCCTGCCCACCCCTGTGTCAGGAAGCGGGTGTAAATGGGGCGAAAGCTGCCAGGTGTACTTGTTTGAATGGAAAGGAGCAGAGGGATTTCGGAAAACTGGGAAAGTTGGGGTGTCAGGACGCTGCCCCTGCAGATCTCACCTCCCTGACGGCAGGAGAATATTAACGAAGGCAAGCAGCAGGTCGTCCGGCACCAGCATGAAGCTCTTCTGGGATAATGTGGAGTAAGTCCGAGCTGAGGATGAGACAATCAAATTGCTGCAGCAACTCCATGCCAAATCTAAATGGCTGTGCTGAGAACTATATGATTCTTGTTCCAAAGAACTTGCTTTCCAGGCAGCAGGATTGGCTCTAGCTGTCTGAGCCAAATTTCGTATTCCTAAAGGAGCTTTTGCACGTACTATCTCATGCCACCTGCAAATTCCACCCCCTCGCCTCTTCTCCTTCCTCCCGGCCCTGCCAATCCATTCTGCAACTCCCCCCCCCCTTTCCACTCCATGCTGCAAAGCTCGACAGCCCCCCAAACACTGCAGAGCTCCACTTCATTTCTCTTCCTCCCAACGTCACTGCTTGCCACACTCCGCATAGCAATCAGCGGAAAAGTCAGCTTTCCTCCTCCAAGTTAGGGGGGGACCTTCCACTCAGGTGGTTCGCGCCCTATGGAAAGCTCCTGCACCAAGCAGTTACATCTGACTTACCTCGCAGATGTAAACTAAACCTCCAGCTGCTCTGCTCATCTTCAGCCTCATTTCCAAAACCTCCCCATTGATAAAATGTTCTCTCTCTTCCATTAAGCCCTACAGAGGCTCAGGCCAATAATGCTGTTACTAATAACTCGGTTCTATGGAGTGTAACTATCTCTGAAGCCTCCGGAGGGAGAAAAAACGCCCCCAATGTGCAAACCGGAAGTCTGTTCCTGAACTTCTGGTTTGTGCGTTGGGTTATTTTTCGCCCTCCGGAGCTTCAGGGAAGCCTCCGAAGAGCGAAAATAAAGGCCAAGATCAGCTGGCCAGCGTGCGCATGCGTGCTGGAGCTGTCAAGGCAATGCCTCGCCAGCCCTAAGAAATGGCTCTGCCTGTCACCTGTGGCACGCGTGACACAGGTTCGCCATCACAGGTTTATATTATGTTTCCAGTCAAATTACTACATATGAATCTAAAAAAAATAGTATTCTTAACTTGAATTGTATATTCTTTCCAGTATTCTATTTGGTGTAATGATGGTACAATGTGAACACATACAACAGCAAATGTTGTCATTACAAGGATTTTTTGTGTGTGGACCCCTAAGGGGCACGGACTAGTCATGGAGACAGATTGATGTGTGCATAATGACTGGTTCCAATTAAATATAACTGAAACAGCTGAATCATTGAGGAAGTCTGATCTCCCCAGATAAAGAAATGTACATGTCTTGATGGTTAAAAGATGGGGCACCTGCAGCTAAGTTCTGTGCATGATAGGTGCAAATAAGGCATTTCTGAACTGAGACTTGCAAAGTATTTGAAAACAAAAATGTTAACTTTTTATGTATGATTTTTACTCTTAATTGGAATAAAATGTAAGTGATTGGAACTGAATCTTTTTACTTTTTTATTTTACTCACACTATTTTTTTGTTCAATCAGGAGATCAACCAAATCCAGCACCAGCAGGGCAGGTAGATTATACCAAGGCTTGGGAAGAATACTATAAAAAAATGGGTATGTTTTATTTACTTTTGATTTTTAAATTTTACTTCTCAGAAACTTTGCTGATTCATACACAATTTTATTTTGAAAAAAACAAAACTATTACTATAGATAAGTTTTGTATTTTTAAGTACCTTTTATATTTTTGCTCCAATGACGAGTGTGCAGAAAGCTTTTATGGGATCTTTTCATTTACAGAGGAAAACCTGTACTCTGCAATCTAATTTTTGTAGTTTGATTTCTGCAGCAAAAACCCAACAACTAGCAGTAGTCTTGGTAGCATTATCATTTATATGGGAAAAGTTAAGTTTAATAAGCTTTATTTGATAGATTTAAACTCGGCACATTTCCAAAACTGCCAAAGCAATTTTAACGGAAAACATCAGTACTTGAGACTAAAAGCCACTAAATGAATCCATTGCCTCATGTCTGAGAATGTTTCCAGCAGCTGACATGGGAACAATTAAGAAAAAAGTCAAAAATGACTTATCAAATTTTTAATTTTTACTGTTCCATTATTGTCAAAAAATATCAAATACATTTATTATAGTCTTTGACTAGTCTTCATAGTAAAAATAAGATACGGTTTAACAACAACAATTTGTTAGCATCCCTTAAAACGTAATTAATCTAAAATTTATCAGTATGGCTCTCATATTTGGAAATGATTGAGAGGATCAGTGCATGTCTTTGAACATTGTAAAAAGGACACTGTATGAGAACACGAGCAAGAGTTTGCTTCCCTGGATCCACAAGAGTAAAGTTTCTGCAAATAAGGAGTACCATGAACTCAGTAGAATAGACCTGATGATAGGAGCACATCAAAGCAGGCTCTAGAAGAGGCCTATCTATAGTTGCTCAGGGTTAGATTGTATTAATACTTTGCCATAGTGAAATTCCATTGTGATCTGCTGTTTTCTGTTTCTCATATCAGATGTTAAGACAAGATTTTTGTGGCAAAATATATCTGCCCTTTAAAGTGCTTCTAGCAAGAAAAAAAATGACCCCAGATTTTCTGATACTATAAACCCTATTCTGGTGTTAGTGTTCTTGAAAGCACGTATTAGCAAAATATATTCCTAAAATGCTAGCCCTAGAATATTTCATCATTTGTATCAACAATATTTACCATTTTCTTTATATTTTCCATTAAACAATAAAATTGAATCTGAATCATGAATGCAGCTATTCTAGTTTCATGTTCTGTTGTGAAGCTACATTTAACATGAAAGTAGTAGATATGAAATATGTGTGTTCTTTTTTGTTAGCTAGGTGAATACATGCTATAGATCTAATTTTATTTTGTTGGAAACTATATATGTGTGTTTGCATTTGCATCCAGTGCCATCAATGAAAAGCCTAATTTGAAACAGGAGATTTTCTCAGTAATTGGTTCTAGTCTGGTTGTTGCCAGAATTAAATGTTAAAATTATGCCATCTTAATATTCACTATCAGAATATTAATTGCCAAACTGTTATCAATCTAATTTCCTTTTTAATAGATGCAAGAGATTTCAAGTGTAAATTACTTTCACAGCACAATAAGAAAATATAACCTGCACACCTGATTTTGATATTCTGTACTAAATGCTGTATGCATTTCCATTTACCACATTGAGTTTTGCTACAATTTGGCACTGGTTAAATTTTTTTTGAAGCACTTAATTATATATCTTCTAAATTCCTTCTAACCTTATAACACTGAATCTTAAATACTAATTATTTAAGGTTCAAATTAGCATGATATGATTTTTATTTTTATAAATAAAAATTTATTTTTTTAGTTTTGTCCTTTCTCCAATGAGATTAATATAGATTAGGCAATCTATTTTGACAACAGTATACTATGTTATAGACAATTGTCACAGAGGTGACATCCCCTCTAGTTACAATTAATGTGTCTATCCCAATAAAATGTTGCTTGTAACTAGTTTTGCTAGATTCAGAATTGGAATTAATAGGATTAGAAAATACATCCATTTTTCTTTTTGTGCCCTTCGTTTTTCTAATTGTGACTGTCTTCACGATATGAATTGTCTTAGTTTTGAAGCATTGTATTCCACAAATTTTCATCACATATAGAACAATTCACTTCAAGCTAAATTTAAGTAGGTAGGGTAGGAAAATTCATGATTGTCAGATATAATGCCTTTTTGATGTTAAGCATGCTGCCTAAATTGGTTTTAGATACCAATTTATATATAGTCCAAAGAACCAGAATTAATACCGTGTTTCCCCAAAAATAAGACAGGATCTTATTTTCTTTTGGAAACACCCCCCCCCCCCCAGAAATAAGCACTTGGCCTTATTTTTAGGGCGGTCTTATTTTTGAAATGCAGGAGGCGGCGAGCATGGTCACCTCATGGCTGCTGCTGTGTTGCAATATTTTTGGGGAAGGGCTTATTTTAGTGCATGTGCTCAAAAGCCCGATTGGGCTTACCTGGGGAGGGCTTATTTTCAGGGAAACGGGGTAATAATGGAAAAACTGAAGCCATAGAAATAAATATATTCATATTAAGGTATCTACATGACTTTTGGGACATTATCTCAACATGTTAATATCCTTCACAGAATTTATTCTGAAAATAAATGCATAGCAATTTGACATGAATAAAGAATTGAGATTAATATTATTTTAAACTTGTACTCTACTCTCTATTTACTTTCTTAAATACAGAATGACTGACCCATATGTACCTTAACAGTTTCTCTTTATCCATTTTCTTTTATAGTTTATATTAAATATAGGAAAACATTTACAATTTTTAATTAAAAATAAGATTAATCAGTAATAAGTTGACTTAAAAGCAGCTTTATGGTTACTGAACGATGTTTGCTATTTTGCATTCTTTTAATACATGCTAGTCCTCAAAAACAAAAGTCAACCTAAGTATTAAGCGTATTTTAATTTAAAAAATTAAAAAAATACGATGTTTTCATATTTAGAAGGAAGTCCTCAAAAACAAAAGTCAACCTAAGTATTAAGCGTATTTTAATTTAAAAAATTAAAAAAATACGATGTTTTCATATTTAGAAGGAAGAGAGCACATACTCTTGGGTACAGATTTCAGGGCAAGTTCACTTAGGACGTCCGTCCTCCATATATTATAAATCATATAATGAGAATAGTTTTTCTACACACTTGCGTAGAATATGGGATACATTTCCAAGCATTTTCAAACTAGTGAAAATAGGTTGGATTATGCAAGCTGGTTTGGATGAATACCTATGTTGAGCAAACAGATAAGACTACTGTATAAAAATTTAAATCAAATTAATAAATTTTACATCTATTAAAAACTCAACAAAAATTATAATATTAGATTTTAATATTTTCTGATTTTCACTATACATCAAAAGAAAACAGCAAAGAACTCTTCCATTGTATTCTTGACTGTAATTTATACATGGGAGCTGTGTTTACATTAAAATGTGGGGGGTTTTGCAGGTCAACAAGGGCAGCCACAAGATTATTCAAAGGCTTGGGAGGAATATTACAAGAAGCAAGGTAATGTTCGTTAGAAATGAGATTATTTTGACCTTCCTTCTGCCCCTTTTATGGCACCGGAGTTGTGTAATCTATATTTGTTCTAGGTCAAGCTGTTCCAGCTCCAACTGGAGCCCCACCGGCAGGTCAGCCAGATTACAGTGCAGCATGGGCTGAGTACTATCGACAGCAGGCAGCTTATTATGCCCAGACAAGTCCACAAGGAATGCCACAACATCCTCCAGCACCACAGGTAAACAGTCTTGAATTATTTAGCTAATACTTTAGTGAGATACTTTTCAATTTTTGTGGGGTGGAATTTTGTTTGTTTTTGCATGTCTCCCACATAGCTATCTTTCTGAAGTATGCATTTTTCCTGATAAAACATAACTGCAAATGAATTAATGCTCTTTTAATGGAGATCTGTGTTTGTCTTTGCATACATTCAGTGTTTGTGATCTAAAAATTTCTCCTCAGGGTTTTTGAAAGCCATGCAGGAAGCCACCACCATTGCATTAACCAAATTTTCTTTCTTAAAGGCTTCAGTCCTGAGTTAGCGCAATTTTTTTAAAAATATTTTCTTTAACTTTTTGTGTATTTCTTATGTATTTCTTCGCACAGGGCCAATAATAAGAAGTGGACAATACAGTATTTGCTTCATTATGTGGGGGAAAAAAACCTTTGTTAAATGTATGGATGCAGACGCCTTGATGAAGATCATAATTTTGTTTGGTTAAAAATAGTGTTTTTTTGAAATGTACAAAATATCTATCACAACTGATAGGAGGTAATATTTCTGTGTAGAAATGGAAATTGGTTTGTTTTTAGTACATTAGTGTAGATGTACACATTCCAGCAAATGTATTTGCAACTATTATGTGGTCAATGCTTTGTGATATAAATGTACTTTTTCAATGTATACTTGATCACTTTTAAATGCTTGTTTTGTGCTTTGCAATAAATAATATGAAACCTCCTGTGTTGGTAAGTTGGATATGTGGGTACTCAAGAGAATTCAACAATATTTTTTTTAATAATTCTGTACATGTACACAAGTAAGACTTTTCCCCTCTCTTTTAAGTTCAGGCGTGATGTTGGTATTTCCCCAGAATAGGTTTATATAGGGATCTCTTTTGTGATTGTATGTTACTATTTAGCATTCTGATATCTTCCTCTCTTTCTACTTGTGTAAAAATTGCATGTATGTGAAGGTATTTCTTGACATACTTCTGCATTAACAGTTGAAATTTCTTTTTTATTCATGACCACTGTCCTAGACCCGTATAGCTGCTATAGTTAACATTTGTTTTATGTATGATTTAATTCTTTAGTATATTTTCCAGACACATTATTAAAATCAGTTATCTAGAAAAATAAAATGTGCTAAGCGGTTGGTTTGAAGCACTTTGCTATAGAATTCAGTGTAGTAAGGATGATTATGCTTTTTAGTTATAAAACTGCATTTGTTGTAGAAACATGCTGTTTGAGTCTTGGAATGCTTAATGAAAAAAAAGGTTTTTTCAGATAAGGTTTGTTTTTAAATGTTGAAAGACTAGTTTTTAAGTTATGTTTGAAAAGTCTCTATCATACGTTTTACTTTTAATAATTCTAATTGAAAATTGGTGTTCTGTTAAAATCCACTGTTTGCTTTTTTGCATATATTAGATTACATGCAATACAGTTTGTCTTGCCATTGTCTGTTGAAGTGCAGGTTTGATCCAGCCAGTATAGAACTAGCTCTGTAGGGGTGAGGAGGACTGTGCTGTGTATCATCCTTGATTGTTCCTTCAAGGAGCATTGCACTGTAAGTACATCAGAGTGACAAAATGATGAACTGCAACAGTATCTTTTTGTCAGTGTTCCACATAATGCAAATGCCATACCTGTGTGAATATTATGTTGGAATAAAATACAGTGCTGATATTTTAGAAAATTACAATTGGTTGTTTAATCAGATACCTAGATATGCATAAATATGTGTGTGTATGGGTAAGTATTTTGAGATATTTAGCTTTAGCTAAAGAATTCATCAATGAACTAACATTGTTCATTAGGGTTTCAGAAATGAGATATATTCAGATATCAACTTATAAATTGTTAACATTTAAAAATGCTTGTCAGGAGGAAGTTGTTTTTGTCTTCAGTTGTCTGCATATATTTAGCGATGCAGCTATATGCTATTTTTCTAAATCTTTATTAGCCTTATCTTTAGAAAATCATTTTGTTGTTTTGGTGTGTTCACTTAGAGTGGCTGCAAGAGAAGAACTGAATGTGGTCTAAAATGAAGTAGTATTATTGCAAAAATAATTAGAAATGCATTTGTTCTACTGTAGAATCAGGAGGGATTTTTTTTATCCAAGTTTAGTTTAGGATTTACATTTTGAAAAGACTACTAGAAGTTAATAAATATATAGAGAAGTAGGTTATGAAGTCTCTTAAATATTTTGCATGTTAAATCTGTAGCTTATTGGAAAATGGTGTAGTTATTAACTAAACAGAACAAACATTCACCTGATTCTTTATCATTCACCAAATGGAGGCTGTTGATTTTGATTCATTTAAAGTATAAAATCTTTATTAATTGCAAACAGTGCAATTATTTATACTTCACAGTGCCTTCCCAGATCTTCCACCTTAGGTTCTGCTGCAAAAAGCACAGGTAAGCACAACCTAAGGAAGTGTATAAATACATATTTCAGTATATCAATGTTGTCCCTGTGAGAATTTTTTTGTGCTTGTGTATTCAAAAGCAATCTGCCAATATCTTTTCCCAAATGTATTCTGCTATTCATGGTTTCATTCCAATGAGAATTCTGAAACAATTATTTACATTTCTGGGTAAATGTGTATCTTTATTTTTTTTAAAGATAAGTGGATTGCTGCAATAATTTTTGAGTAAGTCACTTTTACTACTTTCCCTCAATAGTTGTTACAAATGAATATAAAATATTTTTTCAAGATACAGGAAATCTTGGTCAGAACTTCAACAGCCTTCACAAATGCTTCTATAATGTGGATGTTATACCCAAATACTACGTATTCGAATATACTGTATGTTTCTCTCAATCTTAAGATGATACACCATAAACCATAAATTAATGTAGCTTGATTATTTCATGCAGAAGGAAAAGAAAAGTGAGATTTTACTTTTGCAAAATAGTTCTAAAAAATATTGTGCCAGTGATATGTTAACAAGTTTGGCAGATCTTTTCTTTTTATAGCAATTTCCTTCCTACTTTGCTATTTCAGCTGAATTGCTGTATATTTTTGCTAGTTTTAAAATGTTTTGTATATGACTTACCTAGGTAGCTTAATTTTCAGTTTAAATAGACAATTTTAAGGCAGTACCATCAGTTTTTGTTTGTCACTTAATAAAATGTTTTGATTTTATCGAAAGTCCTGCTTTTCTGTGCATGAAAGGAAAATATTCAAAAACCCTGCCTTCATTTTCACACACAGTGCTGAAGATGCTGCAAGCACCAAATCATAGCTCATAAAATCAGGTCCTGAGATAGTTACTTCCAATAAAGAGGATTCCTTTGAGTGTATGGCCCTGGTGAGCCGATGAGCATGGACCATAGAAGGGCTCCATGTAGAAGGTAAAATTGGCAAAAACAATACCGATTTTAAATGTATCCCATACTTAATGGTGTAGGGTATAATTTGCCTGTTTTTATCGCTTCTCATTCTTTAAAGTGCTATTTGCTTGACCATAAATGTTCCATAACTTGTTATGTGATAATTATAAAAATTATTTATCAGTTTACACTTTGCTAAATAGTCAAGCATGGGATATGTCTTGCGTTTACAACTAAATCAGTAGTTGTACTTGAATTCCCTCAAGCCACTTTATTTTATTTTAGGGGGGGTTATACTTTGATATGTCAGAGTAATTTTTATATGAAAGCTAGCTACATGCTGAAGAGCTTCATCTTGGTTGAATTTTGTTTCACCATTATAAAAAAAACTTGTTTTTTTCCTATTCATCTTTAACAAACAGCATACATTGAAATTTTAAGTCAAAATCAGGAGGTGTAAGGGGGGAAACGTTGTTGACGTAGGAGGTGAAGATCTGTGTTAATAATTTTTGTTTCGGTGGACCTATAGGCATCTTCTTGTACTATAGCTTTTATTTTTGGTTTGTCCGATTTCTTTCAGAAAGATAAGGTTGAAGTGTTCTACTCTCAATATGGAACCTTTGAGCCGAATCCATAGATAGTTTTTCCTTGTGCAGTTTGTGTGTTATAGCAGGAATATATTTCTAAATTCTAATTGAATCCCAGGATTAAATGAAAGTAATGAATGTTTTAAAACAGAGGAACATCTTAATTTCAACTAATGTCTTTAGATTATCTGTTGGTATGTGTTCTGTATAGGATATTTGCTAGTTAAAAACAATCTTTATCTAGAGTTTTGTAAATTACACCTCAGTGATCTTGATAGGTAGGCTGTATCATTCACTAATCCTTTCTTCTAAAAATATTGTCAATTGGGATACATTTCATAAGTTTTGAGGGTAGAATTTTAAATTTTTCTTTGTGTATTAGGGTTTTTATAAAGTAAAACATTGGGTCCTACAGAATATGTACAATAGATCCATTTTTCTATTTGTAGTACCCTATCAAACTCTTACATTTATGCAACTTTATCTTAATATGCATGAAAGGCATTTTCGTCCTGAGAATAGTGTTCTCTGCAGAAACTACCCGTGTTAAAAAAGAAGACTGTCTTTTAAAGGCTACTGTGATGGGAAGTATCTTAGGCAGATGCAGCTTGGACGTGAGGTAAATCCAATGCTTTCCAGTATGTTGTGTTGAGCTTGCCTATTGACAATGTATGTACTCATGAAAATACATTAATTGTACTGTTTTGTATGAATTCTCAATAAATGTAAACTAATGGATGAAAAATTGTCCTTTGCATTATTTAATTTTTGAATGGATTTAAAAACATTTGTACATCCAGAAAACTATAAAAGATGAGTGCTACAACCTTGATAAAGAAAAAAACATTCAACTTTAGGAACAGAATATATTTATTATCCTTCCATTGAATACAGAATAAGTAATTTGGTACATACTTAAGAAAACAAATCTCCTGCATAAAAATTTATTCTGACTTGCTCTGGCAACTAAAATACAAGCCCAAACCAACTGGAAGATTTGCAAATGTATGTGAAGTTCCAGTGCATATTTTAATTATGTGATGGAATTTAGTTAACTGCTTTTCATTTAGACCCCCCTCCCCCCAAAAAAAATATTATTAATCTGTTCCAGATTTATAACTATTAATAATGTTATTCCAAACTATGTTATTTAGTTTGGAAATAGTAGTGAGATGATTCATTAAGTTCTATAAAAATGAGATGCACATTGAAAAGCCACCCACTATTACGCTAACAAATTGAATATGATGCAGATTTGCCCAGCATCTTGTCTGGAACACTGAGCTGAAATCTATCATCTAATACCATATAAAAAGCAAATACTTGATTTTAAAGAACTTAATTTACAGCTGAATGCATAATTTAATAGTATACATTTGGTTTCAAGCCATTAATAGTCTTGCTATTTTGTTTTATTTTGTATTTTATTTTGTTCATACAATTTAAAAGAAAAATGTTAAGCAAAGTGTAACTTAAATACTATGTTACCTTTTAGCTAGTGTAACAAAGGACATACTTTTTTGCCCCCAAAGTTGCCCTGATTGAAACATTTGTGTAGAATGAATTGGTCTTGGCTAAAAGATTAAAAATTACAAACTTGCTATGTTGTTTTGGCATCAAATTAAAGTTGCAAACAATACAATTAAGATTTTTCTGGTCAATTCTTCTCATTTAGTACATTCAAGAGTGCTTTGTTTGACATATTTTATGTTGGCATACTGAAAGGTTCTAGAACCACATGGCAAACCGTTTCATGCAGTTTGATTTGCCTTATGGAACATCATTACATGGACCAGTACAATAGCATAAATAAGCAGCCATCATTTGTAGATTGCACTGCTATATGTCAAATGACCCAAACTTTTATTGCCCGAATTTCAGTCTGAAAAGTATTCTACTTGAGGAATGATAGACAACTTCTTGGCCCCACCACAGGAGAAAAAGATAGATGCAGTGAATGAAGGGAAGAAAGACTCCAGAAATGGTAGGATATTTAATAGTCATCAGCTAAGGAAGAGAAGAGAAGAAAGGTGAGTTAAGAGAGAATCAACAGAGAACAAGAACTGAAGACTTGATAACCTGTGAAATGCTATCTCTTACTTTCAATAGTGAGAATACAAGTGCTAGCGGCTGTTCCTCTACTGTTTACCGCTTTACACATATATTCTCCTTCATCTTCCGGGAAGGTCTCTGGTAAGTAAAGGCAGTATGTTTCTCCTCTTTCAATGTATTGGTAATCCTCACAGTCTTGCAACATTTCCCCTTCAAACCACCATGTAACTTCTGGCTTGGGTTCACCAGTTATTTTAACAGTAAACCGTACTGGTTCACTGTCCACAACAGATACATTTTTAAGAGGCTTTTTGAACCATGGAGCACCAGAACGGGCTTGCTGTTCTTCATCTTCATACACTGAGCCATTAACAATACTCCCTTCCTCGTCTTCCTCTTCCTCTTTTTTCTGCATTTAAACAGACGTGAATATTTTAACACAAGTTGTGAAGAAATAGAAACTAATATTGATAATCGGATTTCAAAAGGCTTGAGTTACCAGAGTTAATGAAACCTTTTGTTTCCCTAAATTAAAAAGGATCAGCAGACTAAAGTGCTGGAAATCAATGTTAGTATTTGCAGCAAGATGATAGATATGAATAATATCTACCTAACACTGACACAGGTAGTTATCTTCCAGATTAATCAGAATAAAATATGCCAGGGAGAAACCTGAGCATCTCTTAAGCTTTTTAAGAATAAGGAAAGAATTAAAACAACAGAGTAGATTATATCATAGCAGAATAGCAGTTTCATTAGGCTGCTTTTTTCTTTTAAACAAGGCAAGGGAGGATGTTTCCAATGAATGCACTAATGTGGCCGCTACAGAAAGATATGTCAACAGCAGAATACATATGTAATAAAATATTTGCCCATATAAACATCCATTGCGGATAAGAATTCCTATTAGCTTACAATAAAAACGTGTGTATTATGGAGATCCAGCAGATACTAATACCTTTTGTAATGCTGCATCTATTTCTTTCTGTTCAAATTGCATACGTAGCAGCTTTTGTTCTTCAATTCTCCTCTGTTCTTCCTCTTCTCTTGCTTTTGCCATTTGTTCAAATCGAGCTTTCATGTTAACTTTGTGTGTGAATGGAGCTTCACATTTTGCAGCAGGCTTCACATCAACTTCTTCTTCCTGGAAAACAAAGTAAACTTATTAAGAAGAAACTACCTTCAATCTTCAAAACCCAACAACAATCAGAAATTGTGTATCAAAAGAATATACAAATTACTGAATCTGCCAAAACTGTTCTGAACAAAAAAGTATTAGAAATACGTAGGTTATGATAACTTCTGGAAACTAGATTTCTAGTTCTAGATGGAAACTAGATAGAAATAGAAAAGCTATACATTTGCTTTGATTAATGTGTGAATAGCACATTCTATATGCTGTTTTGGGAATTGTAACTATGTTTTCTAAATGAAATAAAGTTATAAAGAAAACTTAGCTGGGAATGGAGCTAAGGAATTGTAAATGAGTGTTGAGCTTAAGTATTTTAAAAAGATTGAACACAAATGTTTTATGTTTAACGTGTTTACAGATAGGATATTTAGAGTAAGTATTTTACTTGAAATACCTATACAAGTAGTCCTCACTTTAACAATGGTAACTGGTACCAGAAACTAATGCTAAATGACAGTCATAAGGTATAATGTCAAAAAACATCCTAGTTGCTGCTGTTGGAAAATCCTGTGCAGTTATGGCATCTCTCAATTATATAATAACCATATGTAATCCCTTTCCTATTGACTTTACTATAATTGTGAGCAGACTGCCAAACACCCAAATTGCAATCACATGATCGCCAAGATGCTGAAAGAAGTGCAGCCACAAGGTCTCATTCCAAGTCCACCTCATTCAGTAATATAACTGATTAAATGAGTGGCTGTTATGTGAAGACTATGTACACCGCTTACATTGGCAAATATATGACTAATGATTTTTTTTAAAATCACCAAATAATCCAAATAAGCCTAAAAGGTTGCCTTTTCTTGTTATACTACCGTGTTTTCCCGAAAATAAGATAGGATCTTATTTTCTTTTGACCCCCAAAATATGGATTGGGTCTTATTATCAGAGGGGGGCTTATTTTGGGATTGTTGGGCAGTTGCTCTCTTGCGAGCAGGCTCCTGAAGAGCAGGGCACAGCCTCAGGGGCGAACAGCTGTGTTGCGCTGTTGCAGTAGTGCGCAACAGCAGCCATGAGGTGACCACACTTACGAGCAGCCACCTGGCAAACCCCCTTTCCAGCCGGGTAAAGCACCATTCACTGACCTAAGGATATCCCGAGGGCACTAAGCCGCATGAGCGCCTGTTCCCCACCCTCTGCTCCCGCAGCTTGGCACCTTGGGAACCCCTAGATCAGTAAACGATGCTCTGCACGGCCGCAGAAGGGATTGCATGAGTGCCTGTTCCACTCCCCACTCGCGTGCCTCCCAGCCTCACCATGCCCTGACCCCAGCTCTCCTTGCAGGGCCAGGGCGCTGCTGCCATACCAGCATGGCTTCTGCGGCTTCCAAACCTCAGAAGTCACCTGCTGAGTCTTCCGGCAGTGGCTGCTCTGGGAATATGCTCTACGGTTGTGGGAGTCTTCCATGCAGAGCGCCATTCACTGACCTAGGGGTATTCCGAAGGCGCCAAGGGGCGGGGAACAAGTGCTCACGCGGCTTGGCACCTTTGGGATACCCCTAGGTCAGTGAACAGCACTGTGCCCGACTGGAAAGGGGGTTTGCCAGGCAGCTGCTCGTGAGCGTAGTCACCTCATAGCTGCTATGTTGTGCTGCTGCAACAGGGCAATACATCCATTCGCCCCTGAGGCTGTGCCTGGCTCTTCGGGAGCCCACTTGTAAGAGAGCAGCCGCCCAGCAACCCCCTTTCAGCTGGGAATAGTGCTACTAGTAGTATCCTGAAGGCGCCAAGCAACATGAGCGCCTTTGCCCCCCCCCCCTGGTTCCCACGGCTTGGTGTCTGGGATACTGCTAGGTTGGTGAGTGGCGCTCTGCCTGGCAGGAATGGAGGTTGTCCAAGGAGCTTGTTTTTTTGGGGGGGGGGGCTTAACCGAAAAATACGGCATGGCTTTGTTTTCAGGACATGTCATATTTTCGGGGAAACATGGTACATTGGGTATTGTTCCAAATCTTTAATCCCTTATAAATTCTATGTTAATGTTCCATTTCAAACAAAAGTAGAACTGAAAAAGACCACCTGAAGCTTTCATTATGCTTCCGTTAAAGTACCCGTTCAAGAGTACTGTCTAGTCTTTTTGAGTGATCAGAATACTGTTCACAATAATTGCCGTACCTCAATAAAAACCTAGTTGCTTATCTTCAAGACAAAAGAAATAAAGATATGATAATTGGTTTAAGCAAATAAAGGTTTAGGAAGAGTCAGTGGATTAGATTAAACTCAGTCCCTTAAACAAGTACAGAGCAGAAAGGTGGAAACAATACATGCTTTGGGTGTACATACTATGCAAAATCTCATACAAAATAAATGTTCACATAGACATTAATATGGGTTTATTCTATAGCTGAAAAGGTAATTCTTGCAAGAATTCAAAAGAACAGAAAAAAATGAGGTTTTCAGGAATTTGGATTGAACAGTGTACCATCTTGAAAGAATGAATTGCAGATTTGTACACAGTACAACCTTTCTCTTAAGGCTACACATTTCATATTTTGGGAATACTAATTTGCAGAGTTCAAATACATATTTATTAATCATCTTAAACATGAAAAGGTTCTAAATTCATAGAATCAACTGAATGATTCTGACTCAATCATTTTTTTCTCATACCAATATATTTCACAGGGATGTTCTGGAATATAAATGAATAGAAAAATAGAATATATATATATTGCCTTGAACTCCCAGAGAAAATCAGTGAGGCATGTAAATTGTTTAAAATAAAAATGAAAAAAGCAAATTAAGTCACTAAAAGCCAGGTTTTTATTTATTTTAAGAGCTTAAGCTAATAGGCCTTTAAATGCAGAACTCGTAATTGTACCTGGAAACTGACTGGTACTTTGTGCACATGAAATAAAAACAGGTTTATTTTCATTTATGTTCCCAGTTTACTATGCCAGCCAGAGATGGTATTCACTTACTTTCCCTACTGGTTCACACATGTGTGCCCCCATCCACGCATGTGCTCAGCCTTCCATGCATGTGCTTTGATCGTACATGCGGTTTACATGGCTTGAAAATGTGCCTAAATAGGACAGCATAGAGCAAGGGCAGGTGAGTGCCCCTAACCATGATTTCCACTACCAGTTCGGGGGAACCGGTCTGAAACGGCTGAATACCACCTCTGATGCCAGCTGAGCTCCATTAACTGTGGGCTTGGAAGACTGTCAAGCATAGTCTGACTTAGAATATGTTAGATATTTAAACCAGATTATGCACTATCCTGAAACCTTCACGTTTCAAAAGTTCCTAGATATCAAGCATACTTTAAGATATTAGAGGGTAGTTTCTACAAAGGGACTGTAATTCCATCTAGCAAACAGATCATGTTCATCTTTTACCAAGAATTTTATTCCTCACAATTCATTTCATCTTGAAAATTTCTACAATAAATGTACAGTGGTATCTTGCTACTCAATTGCTTTGAAACGCATCAAATTTGGTACTCAATGCATTTTGATGCAAAACTTTTGTCCCGATATTCGTTGTTTGATACTCAATGCGCAAGCTAGAATTTCCAGGTGACAGCTGCCTTGTGACTCATTTACATTATTATTTATGGGGGGAAATGATTTGGTAGTCATTGTTTTTGGTATTCATTGTGCCTCCCGGAACCAATTAATGATTGTTGTATTTGTTAAACTATTTGTTAAATGTGTATCCTTCCTATCCATATGGTACCTGGGTTTGATTTGGTTTTTACACACAAGCATTTATTATGTTACTATTTGTAGATTTGAATTTGTATTTTCTATATTGTAGATAACATATTATCAGTTACAATATAGAGAATACAATTGGTATTGCACCTTTCACTTAACTGGCAAGATGTGAGTATTTAATAAATAAAGGATTAAGTTGAGAGCCAATTTGGTCTAGTGATTAAGACTCCAAGCTAGAAACAGGAGACTATAAGTTCTAGTCCAGCCATAGGCATAAAAACCAGCTATGTGATTTTGAGTCACACTTCCTCAGCCCAGCCCACTTCACAGGGTTGTGGGGAAAATTTGAGAGGGAGGAGCATTAGATATATTCACTGACTTGAGTTATTTATAAAAACAATAAAGGAGGGATATAAATAAAGAAACCAAATTTATAAGATTATCAGAGATTGTTATACAGATTCAGAATCCTATTTCCTTGGTAACATTTTGCTCTCATTTTCCTTTGACTGCTCACTTATTACAGCCACATCTGTTATCTCCTAAGCTGACACATGATAATGACCAAACTATAAAATGTATTAAAATTATATTGGGAAGCCTCCAATATCCAGACAGTCACAACTGCTTAAATGATGGCCACAAATTATTTCTCTATATACTTAAAAAATAGCATACCTCTTGAAATTTCTCTGCTTCTCTTTCTTTTATTTCTTGATCCATAGCTCTCCTCCTTGCTCTCTCTTCTTCGATTTTTTTTTGTGTTTCTTCCTCAGATAATTGTCCAATTTTTTCAAATTTTTTCTTTAGGTTCTTTGGTTGAATTGAACCACTTCTTTTTAACTTTATCAGTTCCTCATATTCGCTGCTTAGCTCAAAGGTTTCACATTCCTCCTCCTCCTATTAGAATAAAACATTTGAAATTATCAGTTAAACAAAGAATACCTGAACAAAATCCAATTACAAATAACAGACTTGTAGAGCTAAACCACATTTACACGCCATTCAAAAGAAACAGTAAAAAAGCTAAGAAAGAAATAACACCAGAAAACATCTCCAGAGGCCTATATCCAGGTATTAACAAAAGATAGACAAGCAGAAAACACTACCTTAATCAAGGAAGAAGAAAACCACACCCTTATTCACACTGGCAAGGCACTACAGAGAGCAAACCCCTGACTCGATAGCACTGATAATGTTACCTAATCAAGTAATGAAATGTCTGCAAGCAAAAAAACAAGCCCAGAACATCACAGTATCCCTTAATTAAAATCATTTACCGTATATACTCGAGTATAGGCCGACCCGAATATAAGCCGAGGCACCTAATTTTACCACAAAAA